GTAGCGCTCGTCATAGTTGCGGAACGCCCATTTCCACTGACAAATGGTGGGGGGGCATCTATCGCTACTCGTAGATTATTGGAATGTTGAATTACAGTCGCACTTCTCGATCTAAAGTTCGTGCCAGGCCTCTCTCGTGTCGGAGTAACTGATTTGTCTCTGATTGGATATCCTGCCTCGTGGTTACTTCCTGGGTGTCTACCAGATCGGCTTTGTCCAGGAGGAAACAAGCTCGCGCCAGCATTTCGTACTTCTGCTACACTTCCGTATAATTGAAGTAGTAGGGTCCGAATATACCGAGGATCGCCATTGATAAGAAGTATCTCAACATTCTGTGATAATTGAGCACATACGTGAATGTATGCACCAACACAAGTTAAACAGGCACGTTTCACGTTTTCGTTTGATCGAGGAGAAGCTTCCTCATCTTCCTCCGAGTAAGAATCATAACGTTGGACATCCTGATCTAGCTCTTCCACATGTGTTTTGGCATTGTAAAATACCCTCTCCAAAGTTGACTTCTTCTCGCCAGGATTTCGTACCAGGCCAATCAAGGTTTCAATAAGAGGATGGACTTGAAACAAAGCGTACAATACACCTTTAGCCCCTTCAATAATAGGATCTGGTGAAGTAGATTCTCGTTTACGTTCCGGTAAGCTTGATAAGCGGCGGACGTAGGTAGCTCTCTGGCCCGCCGAATCTGCCGGGCTTGCTGGGCTAATTGTATTGCCATTAGACCCAGTACCATTACCCTGCATTGCAGATCCATGGCTGAGACCTCTGTTGTGAAGACTGTAACGATTCGATTTGTTCGTCTCGTCAACCGTTCCTAACTCTGCTGCCTTCCTTGAAACAATACCCATTCGTCGCGAGCGATCCGTTGAAGAACGGTCCGGTCGATCGCGATTAGCCTGCAAAAGGCTCTCGCTGTTACTGCGAACCCTTTCGTTTGTGCTTCCAATCGTGAGAGGCATTACGCCAGGTCGTCTAAGCGCTGCGTTTTGTTGCGAAAAGCCTCTTTGGTGTGATCTAGAAGGTATAGGTGGTGGTCGAGGTTGAGCTGGCGATGGGGGAACGCCGTCGACCTTTATGGGGAAACGACCACTCACAACACGCTTCATAGTAGGTCGTGGAGTCTCGGTACCCTCGCTTGATTCTTCTCCGCCAGATTCGATTTCGGGTCGACCCATGGCTTTGGACTTCAAGAATCTTTTGATGTGTGCTGTGACAGTAAGATCGTCTATGTCACCTTCCTGGAGGGGACCGCCGCTAGGAGAGTTCAAAGCTTGCGCATGAAGAATTTCTTTGGGTGGAAATCTCAGGGGATTCCCATCCAATTTCAAGACTTGAAGTGATGTCATATCTGCCACGCATAAAGGAAGTTCCTCGATCCTGTTCCTCTGAACGGACAAAACCTTCAATGATGTCAAATTTATAATGCCAGGTGGCAACGTCCGTAGTTTATTTCGTCCAAGGTCGAGAATTTCGAGGGAGTTTAATTGGCATATCTAAAACAAAGTCAGCGTCTTTGAGTTTGCCTATGCTATTGGCCTTGCATACTGCTGGTGGGAATTCTCGAATGATGTTGTTTCGAAGATTGAGATATCGTAACGAGGTACATTCTGCGAACCTGGTGGGGAATGTTTGGATCTCGTTGTGGGACAATGCAAGTCTGTACCACGAATATGTATTAGCTATGCCATTAAAAGATGTACTTAATTTCCGAGATGCTGGAAAGAGTGCAACATGTGAGACAAGTTCCAAGCCTCCTGCAAGGAATGAGAGATTATAAATACCGTACGAGTTCGACTTTTATAATGTCGACAACCTCTTCTGGAAGTCTTTGTATACGTCTATGGCTCAAATCAATCGTAACTCCTGGCATCAGCTCATTGCTGACAGCGCTCGACTCTGCAGCTTTCACTATGTTTTCCTCCAAAGCCTTATTCATAGATTCCCGTACTAAGGCGACAACTTGCCCTTGCGATGGCGGGACTTTTGAAGATAGCGAAGAGTTCGACTGAGCATGTCGAAGGGGCAGACCACGTCGAGATGCGCTTAGATTCTGTGGTCTAGGACCCGGACCTGGACCTGGCATGCCATTTTCGAATTTAGGTCGACCTGATGACATTATTGCTGCTCCAAGGGGAGGACCAGTGGGACCCATGATATCTTCCACTCCAATCTTTTTGATAATGTTGTCGGTGTTTCTCGTAAGATGTGGCTGAGACGTTTCAACACTTTCTTGTTTTGCGAAAAAGGGACCAGACCCTTATCAATTCGATGGGAACTACTTAAGAATCCGTGCCTTTGAATGGGCGGTAAAGTTGAGAATGGGTCGAGAAGATAGGACAAACAGCATAATGAGGGGTTTATGTCCTATGCAACAACATGCATCCGTAACATTTTCAAGAAGGGGTAATATTCGAGCTTCTTCTCTCTCTTCTGTCGCAATTGAACTGCTTGTTGTCATATTGATCCATTTCTCTAGCATCATGATTTCGGTTAAGCTTTCTCGAAATAGGTAAGCGTCGGCTTTACATCGATGCAGGTACCGATGTGTTTAATAAAATATGCATTTCTCCCTTGGAATTTGAGTCCGATGGCAGTGTGAACTCAATATTATATCTTCATACTCTCATGGAGGTGATATTTTGAGTCAGAAGATAATCAAGACCACAGGTTTTTTCATCTATCTTCATCTATCTTCATTGCTGTCTATATCACATCAAAAGGGCTCGACAGGTTCTGGACAACACCTGCCTGCTAGATACATTTTGATATCGTTCTTCCTCTAGCTTCACTTGATCCTTATAAATGGACCTTGACTGTTTAGATGACAGACAATCATTGACAGATCTCAGATTACACCAAGTCTTTGATTTCAAATCAGTTCCATATTATACTTGATTCTATTTGCTGTGTTGTTCAGAACCCCAGAATATCTTCTGCTGAAGCTGAATCACCAGATATAATGAGCAAAGACATTGTGAGAAACCAAGAGTAAGGATATTTTTTACTGACAAGAATAAGGCATTCGGTTTATCCACATTGAAGAGTCTGACTTGATCAGTCTTCTTCTGCTACACTACAATAACAAACAACTAAAATCACGCATCTCTCCAAGATCCCCCCTCGGAATCCTTTCAAAATGCCCTTGTCGAGAACCCTTTCAAGATCCGATTCTTGTGTTGACATTGACTTTACGTTGCGCCGTATATTCAAGAAGACCTCATTCAGGTAGTCCCCTTTACAATATTTCCCAAAATATGAGCTAAAGTTTTTCAGGCCCTTACAGCGAGAAGTTATCGTTGCTGCACTGGACGGACACGATGTTTTTATTCAGGCTGCCACTTCATTTGGGAAAAGTTTATGTTTTCAACTGCCTGCAGTGATTGATCAAGGGAGTAAGTCTCGACGCCTAATTTCATTCATTTCTCAGCGCCAATACTTACGCTTTCAGTAACCATTGTTATCTCGCCATTACTTTCATTAATGGTAAGTCAGAATCGGCTACGCGTTTTCCTATACTTACATCAAGCTAGACCGATCAAGTAAATGCATTACAATCTGCAGGAATCGTAGCGGGTACCCTCAATGGAAATACAACTTGGCCCGAACGACAACGACTCCTTGCAGATCTTGAATCTGGCCACCCCCTAACAAGGCTTTTGTATGTGACTCCTGAGTATTGCTCCACAGACAACTTCCGCAAACATCTTCGAACTGTGCATGAGCAGCGAGAGCTTGCTAGGATTGCCGTTGATGAAGCACATTGTATTAGCGAATGGGGCCATGATTTTAGAAAGTCCTTTAAGAATCTCTCCTGGTTCCGAGAGACATTTCCTGATATACCCATTATCTGTTTGACGGCAACAGCTACGGATCAAGTACGACAAGATGTTATAGGCACTATGGGTCTCTCGGAAACAAATCTGAAGGTTTTTAGGATGACTACGAACCGCGAGAACCTCCATTATGAAGTGAGATTCAAATCAGATGAATCAGACCATTTCAACGATTTCTTACATTGGCTCAAGGGAGTTCACAGAAATCGAATGGAAAACCCAGAACGTCGGGTCGAACTAGAACAGAAGCGCGAACGCTTGGATAATGTGTCGGGAATTATCTACACTCTTTTTAGGCAAGATTGTGAGAATCTCGCGTCTAGATTGAGACATAGCGGAATAGGGGCCAAGGCCTACCATGCCGGACTCACCCACGAAGAAAAGACCGAAACATTGAATCGATGGATCAATAATGATAAGGGCTATGACGTGATAGTTGCGACAACTGCCTTTGGAATGGGTATAGACAAGGAAAATGTACGGTTTGTCATTCATTGGCAAATTCCAAAATCTTTCGAAGGCTTTTACCAAGAGGCTGGACGAGCCGGAAGGGACGGAAAGGCCAGCATACATATCATGTATTACAGCCGTGAAGATCGTGACCGAGCATACAGCAGAGTTTCTCGAGATGCTAAAGAAAGAGTCAATCGAGAAGCTAGGATTAGCAGCTTGAAAGCTTTGGTTTCATACTGCGAAGAAACTGATGAATGTCGGCACAAGCTGATCTGCAGATACTTCGGAGAGAACGAAGTGCCTGCTTGTGATTATGCTTGTGATTGGCACAAAGACGTGAAAGCTTTGAAGAGAGCAAAGCTCAACAATTTGATGACCGAAGAATTTGTAAGCACACAAAGAGAACAAGGCCGCTTCGACAATGGATATGATGAGTATGATTGATCATAATATCCTTACCTTGCTAGCTTTTCATGGCAATGGCTAAGCAATGCTTTATATTTGGTGCTTGCATGTTGGGAATGCCATTGAGTTAGTTATCTCCCAGGATATTCACTTCATAAAAATAATTACTACAAAGCAGGTTCCATGCCCATAAAAAAACACGAATGAAAGAACCTATGTTCCATCACTACCTATCTTTTTGAAGATATTGAAAGATGATTACTGTTGTGAAAGAGAACAACCCAAATAGTATCAATGGTGGGAGGCTATATATTCTGGGCTTTTGACCACCAACATTGCCACTCAATTCAACAAGATCACTTGCTTTTCATTTTAGCAACCCATTTTACTCACAATCCATTTCAGCACATCACAAATCTCAGTTCTCGAATTCGGACAACATCAAACGCTTTCATCATGAGTAACGATATTCCCAACGATTGGTTCCTGGTAAAGTTGACAAGATGGGAAAACGGGCATGAAACCAGTTCGGCTCTCCTCCCTGTGAACATTTCTGCCGGTAACACATCGTCTGGCCTTAAAAATGGGCTTGAGGCTATTTACAAGCGCATTTGGGATTACTTTACTGTTATCGAGAAAGACGGAAATCCCTCCGACCGAATGAATCTTCCTCTGGGAGCCGCCCTTAGACAAAGTGATGGTATCGAAGGTTTGAGCGTCGACTGGCAAGGGATTTCGGCTAGCGATTGGCCATCGCAGCGGACTCTTGTTACGGAGTTCAACCTTCCCGGAATCGTGAGACATTGAAATTTCTCATTTTCTCCCTCTCATATTTTCATTCATCAAGTCGTCTTCTGCAAACACAATATAAGGATGGGGAAGGCTAACTTGACGGTCTTGGTATAGCGGGGAAGGTTATCGAAGAATAACAATGCAGTCATCCACTGTGTTGTCAAAGACAGCAGACTAGACGGAATTACCTGGTGCCCTCCAAAGAATTAGCGCAATTTGTTCTAGAATCAGATACAGAAGACTAACTGAAAGTACTTATGAGAGCGGGCTTTTAGAATTTGAATCTCATTTCTGCAGTGCATTGGTCGGCTTGAAGGAATTATGAGAAAGGAGGATCGGAAACCATGGGGGTTTTCGGAGTAAAGAAAATGGGCAAAGGCATTTGAGGTTAACATCAATATGTTTATGATCTCGTCTTGTCTAGTGGATAAGTGGTGATATGTCTTGAGTTTCAGAGATTCGTATGATAATGATATACTTGCCTAAAACGTCAGCGCCAGATGCAATGCTGCATCCATGAAACTTTCACTCTGCTCCCGTCGATTCCATCGATTTCTCCTTTTATCACTCGTCCACCTCCTTCACCTCATCTGTTTGCTCCACCTCATTTTGATAAGAATAAAGCTCTAATTCTTGCAATATCAAGTTACACACATCCAAATATTCAACAATCTCTCAAATATCCAACCTTTCTATACTATCCCGTCACAGCCTCCTAGCGGGTCATTATTCCGCCCACCCAGTAGCCATTTTCACTCCTCCCACCAGAAGTGTTGATGTATACCTGAAGCCGGACCAGTATATACTATACATGGTACAATCATCGATCCACTATTCTTAACTCAACTCAACTCAACTCTATACCAGAAAATAGATATGTATGCGTCCCAAACCCTTCCGTGAACCTTGACATTAAACAAATAGCCCAGAACTTTGGGAGCGGAATGAAGAAGTTTAATTGGGTAACTAATCACATCTCTCTTCTGTCTCGAGTTCGAGAATTTTGTCGTGTATTTTCACCATTGTCAAATACATTGTCTTTATTTTTGAATAATCATCTATGAATTGGTGGATTGAACATGTTATATCATTATCTTCTCTTTCTCTCACTTTTACCATTTATTTACATACACTCTCTACCCTTTCTACCCTAGTGCGGTATAGCAACGTATTGTCTAGATACTAGTAATACAATACGAATACTTCGATTGGTAACATATCTGTTTTCAAACTCACTTTAGGTAAAATACCATCAGTTCGTGTATCGAAGATGTGGTTTTATAGGACCATCAATATTTTCTCAGATACGAAGATATTGTTGAAGGATTTACTATACGAATAGCATTCATAACTAATCTTGTACATACATCAATAGCGTGCATCAAAGGCAGTCGATTCTATTAATGCATTGCCTATCCATTTTCATAACCTCTTATGTGCATGTTATTGTTATGTGGGTAGTGCCAAAAGACTCCGCGACATGTGAGACTTTCCCAATCTCACCTAAAGTCATCTATTGTGCCACACTCCTATGTACTCCAATCAGAGGCCATGTAAGAATACAAGGGTGGCATAAATCATCGCTCCCACATCCAAACCAAACGCCCAAGGCAATAGAATCCTAATCTATACTCCCAATTACCCATCAACTATCTTTTGGAAGAAATTGCTTTCCCGAAATTTTTTCCCCATCCCTTCCTGTCACCCGTACAGGAACTCCTAGCTCTTCACTCCTAATCGCCAAGATATCATCCCGAGTATCATCATCTCCCACAAAGATCGAACCACCTTTTCTGTCCGCCTTGGGAACATATTCCTTGTTCTGATTAGGATGCCAACCTCTATCCGCTCTCTCCTTTCTTACTTGTGCCGTAAGCAATATCCCAAAATTCGCTTTCTTCCCACCCCGTGAATCAATTTCTTTACGTTTAGCTTCGTACCAACTCTCAGATCGTTCTTTTGGCCAGACGACTCTAGGATCAATATTACCCCAGATTTGCGTTTCGGCGGCGTTATCTGATTGGGGCATAATGTTCTGTTCTTTTTCAATCTCAGCCCTAGCCTGTGATTCTTTTTGTAGATCTAGATAATGATCAAGAACGCTGGAATCATATGTTAAGCAGCGCAATTGACGCCGATACTCAATAGTGTTGGGCTTGTAATCACCATAAAGTGGCGCGGAGTGTTTTGGCTCTTTCTGTTTCAGACTCTGTTGATTCGATCTCTCCTGGCTAGGTCCCTCTTGGTGTAATTGTGAGACTGTAGACTCCAACTCCCGATAATTTTGGGTGAGTTGGAGAGGTATAAATTGATTCTTTGCATGATTGATGGGTTGTTGATGAAGTACTTGCTTAGACAGCGCTGTCTTTCTTGCAGCTCTTCGTTTCTGAGCTAGACGTAAGGTATCGTGGTTTTCACTTTCTGGGTTGAGGAAGTGCATGTCTTGAGCTGTGGTATCTAGATTAGACTTTGGTGATATAGGCTTTAATGGCTTCCTGATCAAAGGAATTTTTAGAAATGGGGTCGTAGAGCAAGCTGCCGAAGATTGTTCCCCGGCAACCTCTTTTCGGTCGCGTGGGGAAGCTTTGCTACCAGGATCCTTATTCTCCGTAAAGGTTGATACTATTCCGAGCGGTCGTCCAGCGGACGACAGTAGGGTTGGTGAAGACGATGATCCGTGCCCATGAACAAGTCTATTTGCAGGCATGGTTGCAACTTTTTTTGCACTTTCCTGCATAACTCTGAGCTCGTCTTGTATTTTAGAGCCAGGGCTATCGTCTTGTTCAATATCGAGTTGCTCCACGTCAGATTGCCAAATATTGACATCACTATCAACTTTATCTGGCGACGGCGGTTCGTATTCTGGCGAACAACTAATATTAATTTCGACCTCACCTGGCGGTGGAGGTTCATACTCTGGCGACGATGGGGGTTCTAACATTGGATGAGTTATGGTTCGACTCGGGATTTTAGGTCTGAACAGGCTATGTTAGACATGTTCACTCAGCATTCAATACACAAAACTTACACTTCTTGGCAACCATTCATAGTAGGCGCTTTGATTGTTCTCGATTGTGACTGAAGGAGGTTCCTCGATGTGGGAGAATGGGTCAAGTTTTCAGCCCGGAGAGATCGCGGCCCTGGAGTAGACAGTAGGCCCTCCGAGGTTGAAGTCTCCTGAGGTCTCGCGGTTGGTTTATCATTGGAATCTGACTGGACAGGAAAACTACTTGGAAGCATTTGCTTATTATTCAAATTTCCGGGCTTTCTACCTCGTTTACGCTTCATTCCTTGCATGTCCTCATCATACTTAACAGGGTAAAGCCTTGTTTTTTTAATGGGTTTCGAGACTGGTCTTGACATGGCTGATATTTGAGCTTTGCTAGCAAGCTTAGACCTCTTGTTTTTCTCTGTCATCTCGTGCAGAGTACACAAGACTTTATCATCTTTGGTTTTACCCAACATGCTGTAAATCTGCTTGTTGCATCCAGGAATTTCACACACACCGCCCAGCGATTGCCTCTCTGGTGAAAACTCTACTGATGGTAGGCCATGTTTTCTAATACAATGATTGCAGTACCAATCACTATTTAGTTTTCAGCAATTGCCGACTAGCAAGAGGGGGGATATTACATACGTGACGTCAGCTCCAACCGGTGGACGTGGCTTATGACAACTAGCATGCCATCGGGCTAAACATTTTGAACAACGATATAAAGGATCGAGTGTGAGTTCTTCTCGTTTACACACCAAACATTTTATGGCTTTGCTGGTAGTTGAGAGTGAGGCGGTTGAACTCGTCTCGTCGAGCTTGTCATCGGACTGAGCTTGAAACTAACAAGTTAGCAAATCTCTTTTGAACATGATGGTCCAAATTTTCTAGATAAGAGAGTTGATTTTGTCTCAGGTCTTTTCAGTCTACAAAGAGTCGTCATATGGCTTGCTTCAGCGGTTGTGCAATGAGCTATAAGCCACCAATGTACGTCTTAACTGACTTCTACAGAAGATCAAATCCCTTTTGCAGCAATTTCAACCCCGCTTTCTATCGCAGCCTTTGGTCATACATCTTGGGGCAATGTGATGTCTAACTCCGTTTAGCAATAGTGTCCAAAGACATCAATTTGCCCTCATATTTTCATTGTTGAAGCTGATAGCCTTGAGCTGAAACAGTCTTGCCTGAAATGGAGGACGCCGCCAGGGTTTGATAAACGTAAAAGGTAGTGTCATCGACCATGACAAGGAGACAGTATAACCAAAGCAGAACCAGAAGAAGCATTTTTGAGCACTCGGACCTTTTACCAGATGTTCATCATTGACATACTATGAAAAGTCAAATATTGAGAGTTCCACATACGCCTGCATTTATTTTTATGCTTGAAAATGATTGCGATCTGAAGTTATTGTCGAAGTTAATTGCTGATCTGGATGGAGCGGCCTGCTTGCTATCAAAGTCCATATTTTCTCGACAGAAACTTCAGAATATAAAGATAAGAGTTCTAGTCGTCCATTCTCAAATCTTCTTTCTCAACCGTATAGTTGTACCAGAAGAACGAGGCATCAGGCTGTATCGTGAATTGTGTTGAGATGTCTAATAACAGGTTAGGTATATCAAACATGAATAAATAAGAGAAGACGCGACTGTGAAAGAGACGTTAACCGGTTAAGCACGGAAGCACGGGTGCACGGGGTTTTGCGGCCGCTGGTCATTCATTTTGCCTAAATACACCGCCTCGTTTTGTGCTTGACTTGGTATAGCGGGGTTCAATCATCGAATCGATGGGCAAAGCTGTCTACTTCCCTTTCACAAATAATAAATACTCCTTTATTGAGTATTGTATTCTTAACATTTGTCTTATCGCAGATTTCTTATGGATTTCTTGAAGTCTGCAGTCGCATCTGCGATATCCAAGGGACCTCCATTTCCCTACACATTCGGGGATCAGGTTGATATAGAGGAATCCATTTGGAAGTTATACAATGGAACGAAAAGAGTATGCGCCAGAGATGACTTTGGTGCAGAATATGGAATTAATGGTATCATAGGAAGATGGTTCTAATTGTAGTATATTCTCCTTCGATGTCAGCGCGAACAAGTATCGATTACCCCTAGCCAAAAATGCCGTTAAGAAGCTTCGAACATTGAGACATCCTGGAGTTATCAAAGTGCTGGACACAGTTGAGGTATGAATTATCAACAACCGAATCATGTGGTATAACTGACTTTCGATTTGGGAATAGACCGACACATACATTTATATCGCTACTGAGAGAGTGGTTCCTTTGAGATGGCATATGAAGAGAAAAAGCATGAGCTCGGAGACGTTGAAATGGGGTTTATTTAGCATAGCAGTAAGTTTGTGGTCAGTACATTTTGGTATGCTTAAGTCTAATGGAATGTATAGCAAACAATTAAATTTATCAATGGCGAGGCATCATCCGTCCACGGAATGCTTCGAGTAGGATCGATTTACACAAGTGAGAGCGGGGAGTGGAGAGTTGGAGGATTCGAGGTATTAAGCAATATGAATGATACCGAGGCGATCATTTATGTGAGTAATATGTGTTCCTGGCATATAGTATTCCAAATGCTGACTCTCGCAGAACTATGGCAGTCTCGTACCCGATGCCAGACGATATACTCCACCAGAATTGGCGAATACTGGCTGGGATTCTATCAAGAAACACCCAATATATGCGACTGATTCTTATAATTTTGGAACTTTGATATTTGAAGTCTTCAATGGAGACTTCACAGGGGGTGATCAAGCCGGCCAGACGAAGAATATACCTCCCAGTATGCAGCCAAGCTATAGACGTTTAGTTAATAGCAATCCCAAAGCTCGACTGAGTGTTGGTCATTTCCTTGAGCAAGGTCGTCGAAGTGGAGGATTTTTTGAGACTCCCCTTATCAAGCTTACTGAAGGGGTAGATAATTTGGGGATGAAAACGGAGGCTGAACGAGAAGAGTTCTTGAGGTAAATTATCCTTTCCAAGGCATGCCAGATTTAAGCTGACTTGTAGAGCGACCTCGATGAGCTTTCCAATGACTTCCCGGAGGATTATTTCAAGATGAAGATCCTTCCCGAGTTACTGAAATCTGTTGAGTTTGGAGGTGGTGGACCAAAAGTATTTAGTGTTGTTATGAAGATTAGCACCAAGCTTACAGATGACGATTTTGAAGCAAAGGTCACACCTGTCGTCGTCCGGCTATTTAGTAGCCCTGATAGAGCTATTCGGGTGTGTCTTTTGGACAATCTTCCCCTTATGATCGATCGACTACCACAAAAAGTGGTCAACGATAAACTCTTCCCCCAAATGGTGAGGGTAATTGCGCTTTATTTGTGAGCACAAGCTGATTGAAATAGGTCACTGGCTTTACGGATCTTGCACCGGTAGTACGAGAGCAGACAGTCAAAGCAGTATTGACAATCATTGGGAAATTATCAGACCGGACAATCAATGGAGAGTTGTTGAAGTATTTAGCCAAAACTTCTAACGATGAGCAACCTGGCATTCGAACAAACACGACAATCTGTTTGGGCAAAATTGCCAAGAATCTGGGAGTTAGCACTAGATCAAAGGTGTTAATCGCCGCTTTCACAAGATCCCTTCGCGATCCATTCGTTCATGCTAGAAATGCAGCCTTATTAGCATTAGCTGTTACAGCTGACTCATTCAGTGATGATGATTGCGCTAATCGCATATTACCGGCGTTATGTCCTTGTCTAATAGACAAGGAGAAACTCATTCGAGACCAAACAAACAAGACAATGGACGTTTACCTGCAGCGTATTCGCAAGTCTGCTGCCACAATGCCTGATACTGTCTTACCACCACCTTCCACGGGCGAAGCTGCCTCATCATCTACACCCCGAATGAGTACGCCACAGCCTAGTGATGCAGGTTCGTCATGGGCAGGCTGGGCTATTTCTTCGTTCACCAACAAAGTAGCTGCTGCTACTGGTGAAATTCAACCATCGAGTGGTGCTGTGACTCCAGACGCACGTCCGACATCAGCACGACAAGAAAATGAAGCTCGTCATTTAACTCAGTCTGCATCGGCTTTGCATCGCCAAGCTGTGACTTCACCGGCTGTTGCCTCAGCTAACGCGCCTGCGGCTAGTCACTCTTATTTCGAAGATGTGAACGCAGGAGAGGACGATATAGAAGCATGGGGCGACATGGAAGAGGATTCCTTTTTCGATGCTCCTAGCGAATCGGCATCAAAAAATACTATAGCCTCATCTTCGACTGCAACCCCCTTCGAAGACAATGGCGAACCGGATTTCGCGGGTTGGTTAGCAGCCCAACAAAAGAAACCAGCTCAAAAGTCATTGCCAAAAGGACTGGCCAAGCCCGCAGCGAAAACAAATGGAAGACCTTTATCATCGTCAAGAACTACTACAGCTAGTTCTTTGGGAACGAAAAAAGCACCTTCTGTAGCGACTAAACCAGTTGTGCCCAAGAAAATAGATACAGCCCCAAAAGCTACAGATGAGGATGCTGATTGGGGAGATGGTTGGTAGGTGAGTTGAGAATCTAATTCTGTGAGGGGGTGATGAGGTTTATGTATGTCACTGGGCTTGCGTGAAAATTGGCATGGCGTACTGGGTGAAACTAAGAGGGGAAATTGAGCATCAACAGGCGAGAAGGCGTTTAAATTATTAAAGCTTCGGCGAGTCACAAGTTTATTTGTGGTTAGGGTAGATATTAGATACCTGGATCGCATACGAGTGCTATTGCGAAAGTAACATGAATGGAGAAGTGTTTATATGCAAAGAATTCCCAATTCGGACCCTTGAGTTTATTGTGTATATATAACCTGATTGGTGGAAAATCCAACGGACAATTAGGACAGCATAACACAGACTTATCTAGCCCTACCCATACTATTTATAGCGCTTTATATAGCCTCATTTCGTGTTTGATCGCTAAACCCTTGATATCGCTAGGAAAAAATAGCTCATGACGGACATGAGATACACGAATTGGTAGTTATCCGTCCCCGCAGGCAATCTGAGCATGGATATTCTATTCCGAGACGATATATCATATATATGTGTATTATGTATAATGACAGACGTCGATCGGAAAGGGAAAGAGGAAGGTCGAATGGGGATGAGGATGTTCTGTTGCATGTCTGTGGGATTAATAGTTGGGGTTTGTTAAGATGTTAAGATGTGGAAGTTTGGGATGGATGGTGGGTTTGTGTTTGTGTTTGTGTTATTGTGCATGGTGGTGTTGGGATAGGGCTGAGATGAGATGAGATGGTGATGAGAGGTTGTCCCGTTGTGTAAGGTGGGATGGATGGGCTAGTGAGCGATGTTTCATAATTGGTGAGTTATAGGTTGTTGGTTCGTTAGGATTTATATGGCTTGAGTTCTTGAGCTCTTGGGACGAGTAAGAAATTCTTGAAGTGGGATTGGGTTGTAGATAGATAATTGGATGGGGCATAGAAAACGGGTTATGAAAAGGAATTGTTCGATCAGCAATCAAGCAAAACTTCTACGCCCTCCTCTAATGCCCTCTTTTTGTTTTCCTGCCATTTAAGCCAGGCCATTCCTTGCAGTAGGCAATCTGCTAGATCGTCTAGTTTACCTACCTCATCTTCTTTCTCTATAATTATTTCTTCTTCCTTTTCGTCATCCTCGTTATTTCTCGTTTTACTTTTAACCGTGAATCCCTTTGCTCTCCCGGCTTTTCTATCCCATTTGGCCGTATATCTCTCCTTCACCTCTCTAACCTGTTGACTACCTATCTGTACCATTTCAAGATGATTCCGAGGTTTTCCATTTTGATTTTCCCCAGCTTCCAACCACCCTCTAACTAAATCGATCTTGGCCCCTTTAGTCCTCGCCTTCGATTCCTTTGTATTCCTGACCTTCTTGAATTTCTCCTCCTCTCCATTCAACAATCCGCTCTCTTCGACCCAGAAACTTCCCACTTTCCTCGGCGCAATCTCAATTACTTCTCCGCCCCATACTTTTTCTTCAGCTAATGTTTTGAGAGTAGCCCATAGCATACTTTCTAACATATTTACTCTAATCGTCCATTCTAAGATATGTTTGGAACCCATGGAGCGGAAGCGTTGGCGCTCTATCAAGATATGAGTGGGAGAAAGAGGAAGGAGAGTGTGTCGCAGTAAGGAGTAGGCTGCGGTGCTTAGAATTGAAGGAGTAAATTCGTTGCGGGTTTTTTCTTTGGTTTCAGGATCGACATTTGGAGGGGATTGCTGGAGAAGCGAGAGTTTCTGCCAGGATTGGAGGATAGGGATGGTAATTGTAGGATTTAAGTTCTTTTTGGAGGATCGCGACTTGGAGGTAGGTTTGGAGGGGGGAATTTTGAGAAGACAGAATGAGAAATTGCGAATTCCCATATCAATGCTTAGGATACGCAGAGGTTTGGCGTCAGTTGTCGAGCCTTTCGTGTTCGTCAAAGTAACATGTGGAAGCTCATCTTGGAGACGTTGAATGAGGAGAGGTTTGGTGCCAGAAGTTGAGATGCCGCATTTGAAGGCAATTTGTTTGAGAGCCGCAACTTTGAGGGTGCTGGGAATGTTGATTGCCATTCATGATCGTTTATGCGGGCTGGTGTTGATGGATGTGAGAGTGATTTGGAAAGCAATTCCCAGATTTTTTTTTTTTGTAACCTTGCTTGAACCTTATTACGATAAGTGCGATAAGAACTAGACTGCTTGGTGTGCATGCAAAAGGCGCGAGGGTGCTCACCGGGAGGGAGCGTTAGACTGCTCAACTGACTCTAGCTCAGGTACTCGGGTCTCTCATATATCTAGTAGTTTTGGGTTAACAGGCCAATACATTGGCTATGAGAATGGCGTGAAAGAGGATAAGAAGTCGATGATGGAATGAATCACAGCAACGCGGCCCTTCCGCATCCAATAAGAATAATATTTCCAGCCTACCTATGTCCATCTCTATTGAGCAGAGAGGCACAGTGCTTATCGAAGCATTTCAATAACATAACAGCTTCATGATGTGTATTCATAAACATCAAAGGATCTGGCTAGATATGGTTAACAATTAGAAAATGGAAGAGCCGAGGCTTCTGCTGAGAAATCAAGAAATCGTGATAACAACTCTATAGTTACTTGTATCGAACCTTATTACTAATAAATACCCCCCAAAGTCTAGACTTTCGTATAGGTAACCAGGTAACCCAATCTGACAAATCGACAGCTAGCACCACTTCCTCAATCGTCACCCAATCCTACCTCAACCCTTGTAAACAAGGCCCCCGCCAAAAGCTATAGAAATCCGCCCCTCCTTCCTTTCCTTTGCTTTGAAAAATAGCTCTCATGCAAAGATTTACTTTTCTTTCCCGATCATCTTCCAAGACGGCAAATACTAGACTTACTTCTCTTTCTCGCCAATTTTCAACGACAACTTTCAATATGGCCCCAATCCCTAAGGAGTGTGACTTTTTGGTCATTGGTGGTGGTAGTGGTGGTTTGGCTACAGCCAGAAAAGCAAGTGGTGTTCATGGTGTGAAGACTATTGCAGTGGAGAGCAAGAGACTTGGTGGTACTTGTGTCAATGTTGGGTGAGTGAAGGTTTATTCTTCGTCTTCTTCACCTCTTTCCGAAATATCCACTAATGTATAGTAATAGCTGTGTACCAAAGAAAGTTACATTCAATGCCGCCGCAATCGCAGAAACCATCCACGAGGCTAAAGCCTACGGATTCTCGGTCAAGACCACCGCACCATTCGATTGGTCATATTTCAAGAAGAAGAGAGATGCATTCGTAAAGAGGTTGAATGGCATTTACGAGAGAAATCTTGGCAATGATAAAGTCGAATATATTCACGGCTTCGCATCTTTGACTGGAAAGAATGAAGCAGAAGTTACATTAGACGATGGCACCAAGCAATTAATCAAGGCCAAGAAGATTCTTTTGGCAGTTGGAGGCCGTCCTACGGTTCCTAAGGATATCCCCGGTGCTGAGTACGGTATTGACAGTGATGGATTTTTCGATATTGATAGACAACCCAAGAAGGTCGCTTTGGTTGGTGCTGGATATATCGCAGTCGAGTTTGCAGGCATGTTCAATGCTCTTGGTACGGAAACACATTTGTTCATCCGTCATGACAAGTTTCTCCGATACTTTGATCCTATGGTTCAAGAAGCTATCACAAATGAATATGAACGTTTGGGCGTTAAATTGCACAAGAACTCTAGCCAGAGCAAGATAGAAAAGGATGAGAAGACTGGTAAACTTACCATCCACTACGAGGATTCTAATGGAAAGGGTGTTCTTGAAGATGTGGATGATTTGATCTGGGCTATTGGAAGATCTCCAGAAGTTGAGAGGCTCGGCTTGGACAAAGCAGGCGTCAAACAAAACGAGAGAGGACAAATTATCGCTGACGAATACCAAAACACTAATGTCGAAAACATCTATTCTCTAGGTGACGTAGTCGGCAAGGTTGAATTAACCCCCGTAGCTATTGCCGCTGGTCGTAAACTTGCCGATCGTCTATTTGGAGGCCCTGAATTTAAGGACTCAAAACTCGACTACGATAATATTCCTTCTGTCGTTTTTGCCCACCCAGAAGTCGGTTCTATCGGTCTCACCGAACCGGAAGCTATTGAACGCTATGGAAAAGAAAATATTAAATGTTACAGTACTAGCTTCACAGCAATGTATTACGCGATGATGGAACCAGAAGATAAGGCTCCAACTAAGTATAAGTTAGTCTGTAAATTACCTGAGGAGAAGGTTGTTGGTCTTCATATCTTGGGATTGGGTAGTGGTGAGACGTTGCAAGGCTTTGGAGTGGCTGTCAAGATGGGAGCTACAAAGAAGGACTTCGATAGCTGTGTGGCTATTCATCCTACTAGTGCCGAGGAGTTAGTCACAATGAAGTAGAGAGGGGAGTAAAATGAGCTTTAGATAAATAGATACATGGATAGCGCGGTATACGTTAAACGAGACATGCGAAATGGGGTACCAAGATATATTTTTTTAAAGTTGCTGGTTTCATGTTGTTTGTCTCGTTAATTTTCCTGAACTCGAGAGGAGACAAAGTTTTGTGGCTGCCTATTTTCTAATATATGAGACGAGGGTAGGTTAAGGAAATAACCTCTGAGATAGCCAGATGAGGACTTCTTGAAAGATTGGTATGATGCACACAATTAGATGCGATAGTATCGCTCTATTAATCAAGACAGACTATGTAGCATGCATTTAAGATTTGGGTTTAGCAGTCATGTCTGTACGTAGTACGTATGGGCAACGCAACCCATATTGTGCGTGTTGACTTGTCGGGAGGAAAGTGGACCAAGTGGTTATTTTATATGGGGGTTTGTGTTGAGTTTTATTGCATTTGTGTTTGTGGCTTGTTCTATGGAAGGAGGGAGGCAGTTTGATATTGGTGGAGATGATTCTAAAGACGATTAACTCGCTTGTATTCTTGATCAAGTTCCTCATAATCCGGAATACCTATCCATTTAGTTCTTCTCGCATCCAGCATGATGCTACATGTCTGTGCAAGTGCGCACAAGACGCTCGTCGAATTTCAGTTATGTTATTCAGTCGGACCTCAGAACTATTTTCATAGCTCGATGATGACCGAGATCATGTAGCAAAATTAGATGTGATTGATACTTGATATTAAAAGCTAAAACTGAAGATAATCTAAGAATGAAAAAACTATGTATGCAAATTCCTTATCATCTGATATAGACCAAATCCCCCCCCCCGTCTTTCCTATCTCCCAAGCTATCGATACTTTTTTTCTGCCTGGAGTAGATTCTGTGTCTTTCTATCTGCGTTTTATGCTAAGATAATGCAGATACCAAGTGCTAAATCTCTGAAAAATACAAATATTCCCAAAAAGCCACTGGAGGTACCTTTTGATATGTAAGTCTGCAATATGGAGCGTAGATGATGAAAGATATTGAGCGTCAGATAGATAAAGCCCGATCAAGCCTTATCTGTCTAGTCGCTTAACTCATTGATTTCCCTCCCAGCACTATTTCTCATCACATCAATCACTCCTATCTCCCGACGATATCTTCTATCTACGCCCTTTCCCTTCCATCTTCCACTGGCCACTCCAGAACCAGTAAAATCGCTAGTAAATGGCTCGCGTGCCCTGGCAGCTTGAGCCACAGTTCCACACGACATCCTCTCCATTCTTTTCTCTTCCCTAATCGATTCATTTATCTCCTCACCCCTGTCCTCAGTTTTCATCTTTTCGTTTGCCTTTGTTTTCGCTGTGATCGCAAATTCTTCTTTCGCCATGACTCCTTTATCTACTGTAATCGAGTCTCGAGTCTGTCGCGGTCGAGGGACATCAAGGTCTTTTCCTTGTCGCTTTTTGTTCCCAACCGGATTCATACCATCATGACCCCCACTTATTCCTCTCCCTACAGTTTCTGTTTCGCCTGCCGTCAAACTTCTTTCCCCATCCTTGACTTCTCCTTTGCTCCCCGCACAACCTCCTTTCAGCGTCCTAACAAAAAGCTCCCCATCTTCCCTCAAAAACCCCGCATCAGCTCTCACCCCATCCGGATAGTCCTCTCTTCTACTCGGACTCCCCGCCAGCTGAACAACCCTACCCAGAACAATTCTTCCTCCCTTCTTCCCTCCCTTCTGAACCTTCCCATGAAGTTCATAACACGTATCACAAAGAATTAAACCACATCCTTTCACATGTGATTGACTACCCTGCGTAGAATGCGACAGACTCCTCCGCCCCTCACACGTATCCCCAGATTTACAAATCCAATCCCCCGGCCTCGGACAAACCGCACACCATTTCGCTCTCCACACCAAATCCGCCCGACTTCCCCGCTCCGGCGTCTCTCCACTCCCTTTCACCCATTTCCCCTGCATCATTCCTTCCTCGCAGGCCTTCACACTATCTCTCACTAACATCTCGTCTCTCATTCGCTCGTCCAGTCCTTCTAATGGTCTTAATTCGTGTTCTGCGCATCCGAGAATTTTGACCCGCTCGTATGTACACTTTACGCACATTCTTGTGGCCTCATGACCGGCTCCACTATCTCCCCACCCGTTTTCGAGTTCTTCGTAGCCGGTTCCCGTGATGGAGGGCCAGGGGACAACTGTGACGTGGCGGATGCCGTAGCCGAAGAGTCCGAAGAAGGGGGTGGAGTGGAAATCGCATGAAGGGTAGAGAGCCATTGGGTCGCGTTTGTAATTGAATATGAGGGGGTGTGCAAATGAGGTGGGAATGATTATGGTGCGGATACCTTTGTGATGAAGAGCGAAGGTTGGAGGAATAAGTTGCTTTGTAGCTTGTGTGGAGTATTCGAGGTCGTATGAAGGTAGTCTACTGAGGGAATTATGTTTATTGGTGGAGTTGGCCATCCAGAATTGCTCATCGGAAGAAGAAGAAGAAGTTGTAGCTCTTTCGTAGGCTTTTTGTTGCGTTTTGGTACGTCGAGCGTAAGGATTTGTAGTGCGCCACTCTCGATCGTTGACTCGAGTTGATTCGAGAATGATGGTTTGAGTAAGATCCTGGGGAGTTCTGAGAACTGGAACAATTTCTTTTGCATTTGCTTTGCCTTTTCCCTTATTGGAAGGTGTGGTAATTGGGAGCGGTAGCATGATGAAAGTACAAGGTACTTTTGCTTTGATGCAGCGATTGCATGGTCCTTCTTCATCGCGCTTCAGCGGACATTTGGCTTTGAATTCGAGTCTGCATCGGTTGCACGAAACGTATTTCCTAGGCGCGGCTTTCGGTTTAGCAACATTGGTAACAGTAGTTATAGCTGTTGCCAACAACTTCTTTTCAATTTCTTTCTTACTATTCGAACTTCCCTTCTTCTTCGCCCCAATATTCTCAAGAACATCCGTCATCTGCATCGAAGGTCCCGAGCCAGCTTTAGGACCAGCAATACATTTCGCGCCAGTTTCCTCGCACGCTTTGCAAGAATCAACATCCTTTCCACCATCATCCGCATAGGAGCATCGTTTTCGCAGCTTTTCTTTGCAGCGAATACAGGACAGTTTTAGTTTAGGGGGAATGATGAGCTCGCAATCGATACCCGCATCTTCACAGCTCTCACAAGGCCATTCGTGACTATATTCTATGAGAGAACATTCGTCGTCGCCGGCTTCGAAACAGCCTTTGCAGCCGCGACGTTGGGGGTGCCCGTTGTTGAGATCGGAGAGGTTTAGACCGTCGGATCTGGGCTTGTTAGTTTTGTTTTTTTGTCCAGTATTCAGGGGGGAACAAGACGTACCTTCGGTTATGCGAAGTTTTAATTCTCTTTCTCCGTGTGGAGGGAGCCGAATTGTCAATCGCAACTTCCTCATCCTCATCTTCTTCATCATCATCAGTCGAATCATCATCGTCCGCTTCATGAATCGGTGGAAACTTTCTCTCATCATCTTCGGGACCCGGCGTGATTTCTCTCAAATACGCTAATCCTCTTTCACTAGTCAACTTAATCGAAACCATCAACTCAAATGACCCCTGCTCCTTCGTTTTTCTCCCACTATCCGCGCTCACGTTCTTCACAGTTTCTCCTCCACTCTCCTTATTCTTCTTAGTCGTCGCTCTCGTACTCCTCGTATTTCGTTTCCGTTCTAAACTCGGATCGTAGGTTCCGCTATCATCTCTATCAGCGCCCGCGGTTCCAATTCGATGCGCTTGTCCTTTGATTGCGGCAGTGCGTTTGGTGCTGTTGAACATGATACTTAGTTCTTGGAAATTGCGGGGCATGTTGCATCGCATGGATGGAGAGGAGCGGTATGAGGGGAGAGAGAAAGTTTCTAGGGCTGGAGCGGCAGGGGCGTTGAAATCAGGGGCTCCTGGGGAGGAACTGGTGGAGCGGGAACTGGTGTCGCTGTCCATTTCGATGTCTGAGTTGTCATCGAGGTTAATTTCTGGGTCTATGTCGGGGTCTTGCTCCGGCTCAGGATCAGGAGGAAGTAGATCTACTTCAGAGCTTGGAATGATGGGCTGAATTGTGTTCGAAGTTTCGATGGTGCTGTTCGGTGTATTGGAGAAAGTACTGGCTTGTGCTGAATTTGGTATAGTCGACTTGCTACTCGAAACATCTCCGAAGATGCTAGTCTGAGCAGGAACAGGACTTTTCGAATGAGTATTCGAAACACTTCCAGATATGCTAGTTTGAGCAGAAACTGGACTAGTCATAACACCACTTGAGTAATTCGAGAATGTATTCGTGTGAGTAGAAACGGGGCTGTCTTTAGTGCTGCTAGGGACATCGGAGAAAATGCTCGTGTAGCCACTAACTCGGCTTGCCATGGCGCTTTCGGCATCTTTAGAGAGAATACTAGCCTGAGCGAAGTTTGCGCTGTTGAACATATTAGGAAGGCCGAAGATGTTTTCATTGAGGTTTTGTTGATTGTTGTCGTTGCTGACATTTGGATTATCATCATCTGAGTTGGGATTGGATTCGTTGTCCATATTTACTGATGATGAATCCTGAATAGATTCAGACTTGTTAGTGACGAGTCTATCAAGACAGCGATGAAGAAACGAAACGACAATGCCAGGCATTGTAAATGCTCCTTGAGTATCAATTTGACTTAGAACTGCAAGTGTATATTAAAGATGAAAGACAACAAGGTTGCTATCATCAAAAGTAGTTGTTGTCGTACAGTGTGAAGCATCGCCAATACACCGTACACTAAATGCAAGTACGAAATACATATAGGCAAGTATAATATATAATGAAAAAGAAATAAAAAGTGAAAAAGAGATTGTTCATCGTTAATGACATCCCGATGAAAGTCACTACATTCAGTCGATGAAGTGAAATTGGCGAGTGCTGATGAAGCGAACTTCGTTCCCCTAAAATGCAGAACCACAAAACTAATGAACCGAAAAGGTGAAAAACTACTACAATAAAAAGGTCAACTTGCCTTCGAATTTTCCCCCGAAAATTTGTAGAAAGATATTAGAGATCCTGAGGAATGATTTGCAGTTAACAATAAGTGATTTAGAGTTGTGGTGGCGGAGTTGTGTAAGTTCTGTTGGATATTGAATATTGTTGTAAGATGGAAAAGTGGGCTGAGGCGTCCGAAGAACCAGATTACCACCCTTTTGAAAAGGCCCGTGTGTATGCTACTTTTTGCTTATTGGCATAAAGGTATATATAGAAAACTTTGGATAAGCTCTTCGAACTCGGTCAAGGCAATATGAAAGGTATCCAGAAGTGTGAAGAACAATACAGGAAGGGTTTATGGTGAAGATACATTCTTATATCCAGCAAGTTGCATGGCCAAAGAAAGGTGTTAACGATTCCATTAGGAGCAAAGCTATCTTGTCCCTTCGGAATAATCTATGACCACCCACAGTACACTTTTGCAACAACCAGCAACAAAGAAACCAAACAAGACTATGTAAGTACTGAACTGAATACAGGTCCTAAGCACGAATTTAACCTATTTTAATAACCCTTTGTAACACTACTAACATTTTGCTGATCAAAAGTATACAAGTCATGGCGCTGAGGTGTGAACCAATTCCTCGGAGGTTGTTCGAGAGGCTGTTCTGTGTATGAAGCTGGTGCAAGAGAATACAACAAATACTCTTATATTAAGATTCTGAAAATTTTAGCAGACATCCGACGAATCTCTAGCAATTCTTCATCCAGACGCTAAAAAGGTAAGTCGATAAACTCAAGCAAGGCTAAAGGCCATTCATTCACTATCAACCTTCAATATCGCTGATGAAGCCATCAATGCTTAGAATAGATTTTGATGATATCCGAAGATGTTTGCCTCATAATCCGAGCTCATTGCTTACTATCTCTCAATAGAATAAAACGAACCGTTTACCGCGCGGTAGCCTGAACCCCCTTGGAGGCTGTCTGATGGTGTAAGGCACAAATTGCTACACATGGCCCTTTTACCAACCCAGGCCTCATTGATAACAAGGGTGAGGACACAGAAGTGCAAAATCTGAAATACCATGTACGAGCATATGATCAACGTCACAATTGACGGTCGAAGGGTCCACAACAGGAGTCGGGCGATCTTATCAGATTTTATGGATCAGGGAAGATGTCATCCGCACCAGCATCGGTGTGAAGCCGTCAAAGAAGACGAATATTTTATGCCTAAGGTGAAGAACGCGAGCAACAGATGTAACAGATCAACGGATTCAAATGTCTTGTCTCGTAATTCTCGAAGCATGTATTTCATGTACTCCAAATAGAAAAGTACCGAAAGCCCAAATAGACGTCCTGCACCCTCAAAGAAGTTTTGTACATTTCGTTGGCCTAACGAGTCCATTGTAGCGTTGCTGTGAGGTGGAGGATGGTAAACCAATTGTTATTGTGAAGAGGTGATTAGAGCTCTGTCCCGTAAGGAGTTAATGTTCTGGCGGTGTTAAGTCGATATGGCGATTAGAGGAAGCAGACAATTGTCTGTTTGGCTCTCTTTACCTATATTAAATATTGCTCCGATGAGGGGAAGGCCCGAAGGTGACCAAAGCCGAATCGAGCTACCTTACAACACGACATTCAATAGCTCCTTCCCCAGGTCTGAGTTGTGGATTTAGATCACAGATCGGCAGTACCTCGAAAATCAAGAGACCTGGTACCATAAAAATGTGCGGAAGTCTTGTTTTGATCACTGTGAGAGTGTACACAGTGAAGATAGGTAGTTAACTTCCAACTCATAAGGTAGAAAAGGAAAGTTACAACCATGTATAGAGTGTTTGTACCTCGTGAGAGAATCGTTTAACTTTGTCAACGTTCTGCTCATTTATTGGAAATGGCATTTTATACTCTCAAGCTTGCGAGGAATGGGACCATTCAATATCAAACCTAGCTTCAGATATCTCAATGTCAACTTTACGTGTTATCAAGCGCCGAGTAGATTTCTTGAGCTTCGAGGTAAGGAATACATGGTGACACCATCATGCATTAGAGAATCGAACTATCAGATACTCTGAACGTGCAATTGGAGGAAACTATGTTTCTGATTCATGATAGTAAAATAATGAATGCATATTTTAAGGAAGGATGACAAGCGCAAGACAGCTAGATCCAGTTGACATGTCATCGGCTCAAATTCGGCCTAAAGTAAAGATGCAAACTAGCATTATGACTAAGCAGACTCGGCAAATCAAATTTTATATTTTCTTCGCAACCATAAAATGGTTTTGCTTCCAGAATAATTAATCATTAAGTCACACGACTTTGTAATCTTACAATTCAACAATAATGGTAAAATTCCATTGATGATTCTTTGTTTCTTCTCCCACATGGCGGGATGAGGCTTCTTTTAATTCGGCACGGCGAGACCGTCGATAATGTTGCCAACGTATAGTAAGCTTATTCCGCTTTGCAACAACTTCAATCTCCTTTGGCTAACTTTTTCAAGTGCCGGCGTCACAGACTCTGCATTAACGAACCATGGCGCATTGCAAGCCAATCGACTTGGCACTCACCTCGCAGCTTCGAAAGTTTCCCGCATATTCTCTTCGGATCTTCAACGAGCTGTCAAGACAGCCGAAGCTATTCGTGTTGCTCAGGACAATGACCCTTCTTTCGAAGTGACAAAGCTTGAGCTTCTTCGAGAACAAGATTTTGGCCACTATGAAAAGAAACCATTTCATGAACGTTCAAAAGATCCAAACAAAACTGGCAAGGAAGTCCATTCCGAGGCACACCGAATGGATCCAGGATTCAAAGATGTCGAGTCGAAGGAATCGATGAAGAAGCGGATGGAAACATTTGTCAATGAGCATCTGATGCACCTTCTCAACATCGATCAAATCAATATGAATGATCATACCATTGTCATTGTGGCCCATGGTATCATTTTAAATCATCTCTGGCGAGTGATCTTGAAACGATTCAATCCAAAGAATGTCTCGATTGGTCCTGATGTTCCACGTCCCGAACGTGGTCTAGAATATCTTGGTGGTTGGTCCAATACTGGCTACTTGGATTTGGATATCAAGCCTGTTCAAGAAGTGTCACCTTTCAAAGTTGGTTCGGTGCCTTCAGTATCGGATGAACAATTCAATGCTCAGACCTCAGTGGAGCTACTAAAGAACAAGATTGATCATTCCGAGATTTCTTCTTTGAATAATCAATCAAATGTTGAAGACATACTGAAGCTACTAAATCATGCTGTTGACAAGGTCGAGGTTACCATGTCACTGATGATAAAATCTGTTAATAATGTGGATCATCTCAAAGGGCTCAAGAAAACCCGAGGCGGATTAGGAAGCTTAAAACATGACTCCACCCAAAGAACCATGGATTCATTCTTCAAAAAGAGGAAGCTTGGATAATTCGATTTTGGTAAGCATATTTATTTTTATTTTATTGGAGGATGGAGAGTAATATGATGATATACCTTATTCACAGACCTGTTCTGTAATCTTCTATGTGGACAAAAAAAGTACCAACTGCTGTCTGATTACTCTTAATTTCATCATTATATTCTTGAAAAGACTTCAAAGCATTGTTGCTAACATATTCAATAGATTTTGTACTCCAACAGGTAAAATGCCTTCCACAGCGTATGTTAATTTCGTTTTTCTCATAATCTTCCCTAGTTCCGACTTGGTTCTTCAATATTATTATACTTTACAAACTCATATGCTACCTTTATATATTGCAATCTCTGTGAATGATGTTCAACTACCGTGAATGTCGCCCTTGAATTGCTCATTTATAAAATACTCCTTGTTTCTATCACCCACCTACTTATCAAATGTACTGCATCTTCGCCTTATGACCCTCGTCTATTCCTCTTGCCCCCCCTGCGAAAGTGGCGAAATAGACAAAATAAGCGTCTCACTACCACCAAACAGCAGTCGTACGATTTCTAAGCGAAGTAGCATCATGTCGTACGATGAGACTCCTTCATGAATTTTGACTAGCGAATGGGGTTGGAAGAAGTTTAGAAGTGCGGGTGATAAAGGGGAGATTAAGAGATTTGTTGCATGTCTGAATCTGGGCCCGAGTTTGTGCGGTGTATGGTATTGGATGAGAGGCAAAGTGTGGGGGGAAAGAGCGAGGAAATGGGGTATGGAACAGATTTTGTTGCATGTCTGAATCTGAACCCGAATTCGAATGGAAAATTGCGGATGATGAGTGAAGGGAGAGGAGAGTAAGTTTATGGGTGGGTACAGTGGGTCAAAGTCAAGCGAGAGGTAAGTAGCAAGAGATGGAGTGATGATTAGTTGATGTTCAGTTTTGCTGATTTGCTGATGTTGATATGGTATCATTTTGGGCGTGTTACATATACCACAGTATGGGAAAATGGATGCACATAATTATGCATCTTCTTTCTTTATCTTGATGCATATCTTCATGGGCGGGATGCTGCATGCAGTATATAATACTACTACCAATAACGAATCAGTAGAAGGATCCCTCTGCTTCCCCACACACATCTTGCACATTTTAGCGTTTCCTCGCGATGGAGTTACATCACAAAGAATAGACATCTCACGCTCAGATAGATAGTAATAACATGCCAATTTCATATGTATTTAAATTAAACATTAATGTATTATCGTTTTGCCGTGTATATATTAATCATGACGATCTTTTCCATCGCATAAGGTATCCGTTGTTTTCCCCTCTCGTCCATTACCACCTCGTATAAACTCTCGCGAAAAAAGCATCAGGCACAAGCAATACCAGTTCAAGATATCAACGCAAAACAGGGTAAAATCCAAAATAAACCAAATCCAAGCAAAGTCTCAGCAAAAATCATTCAAAAAATCAAATCAATAACATCCAAAAATGAAAACTTTAAAGTAACAATAATCCTCCAACAGCAAACCCAACAAGTCCGATAACAGCACCACCTTCAAGTGCCTTGACTCTCTCAGCACCACCGGTGAACTGTCCGAGAATAGCTCCCGCACTAGTTTCAGCGGGTCCGCCTCCAGGAGCCAAGGTCGTGAATGTTTGCCCGGCAGATGTAAAAGTGGTAATGACCCCAGCCGGAATGGTAGTCGTGAGGGTAAGTCCCGAAACAATGGTTGTGGAGACGATATTGACGGGACCCTCTGTGGCGGGTACAACCGTGGCTTCGCCGTTGACGGTGATTTCGACACCCTGGACGGTTTGAACTCTGTTGTTGGCGGAGATGGTAAGAGGAACGATGGGGAAAATGGGGATAATGGGTATAGAGGTGATGGTTGTGATGGGTGGGTTGACAGTGGTGATTGTGGTGAGGACGGGGAGGATGGTGATTTCGGGGAAATTGGTGTTGGGTGGGGGAACGACGCTGCCTTGTTGAGTACCGGTATTGGTATTGGGTGGGGGAACGACGCTGCCTTGTTGAGTGCCGGTATTGGTGTTGGGTGGTGGTACCACGTTGGTTGTTGGGATGAGAGGAGGGGGAATAACATTGGTTGTTGGGATGAGAGGGGGTGGGATAACATTGGTTGTTGTTTGGGGAGGAGGCACAATCGGGGTTGTGGGTGTAGTAACGATGCCGGAGTTTCCGCCAGTTCCGCTTCCGGTATTGGTAGCGGTGGTGACGGGTGGAGAGGGGGTCGTCGAGGTGACGATACCGGAATTTCCACCGGTACCACTACCGGTTCGGGAGCTTGTGCTACTGGTTGTGAGACCAGATCGGGTGCCAGTTCCAGTGCCTGACGAGGATAAGGAAGAGATGGAAGAAGAAGTAGGAGAAGAAGTAGAAGAAGAAATAGAAGAAGAAGTAGAAGAAGAGCTTCTCGAAGTACTAGAAGTACTTGAAGACGACACAGAGGTACTTCTGCTGGTACTGGAAGTTGATGTTCGGCTGGTTGTAACACCCGATATAGTACCGGTTGAGGAGCCAGTTGAAGAAGATGATCGAGTGGTGGGTTGAACGGTACTAGTTGGACGAATCGTTATGGTGGAAGTGATATCGATGGTGCTTCTGATGGTCGTTGTGGAAGGTCTCTGAGAGGTTGGAGGAGGTTTATGGGAAGTTGGTGGTGGTTTTTCAGAAGTTGGCTTGACGGGTTTGGAACTATGATGTCCATTGTGATTGTCGTTATCATTGACATTCACATTCGTGTTTTCATTGACATTGGTGTTGCTATTGCTGTTCGAATTGCTATTTCCATTCTCGTTGGCATTGCCATTTGAATTTCCGTTGCCATTTCCATTTCCATTGGTATTGGCATTGATTTCAGCAAGGGCACTATCAACTTGATCTTGGATTCCACCCTGCGGAGCCGCGAGCGAAAGGGTGGCGAGACCCGCTACGATAGCGTAATGAAAACGCATTTTGACAGTGTAGTTCTAAACGCTTGATATTTGAAAGTTCGAACGAAGGAGGTATCGAAATTCTAGACTTTAGAACGAAGGTATCTGACGAGAAAAGTTTCACGAGATCAGAACCTGGCTCAGACATGATTGTCATGGTTATATACGATTACCTCTCTGGAGAGCTTCTTTATCCGATTATTACCGCAAGCGGGAGTTCAGGGGGGCAAATTGTCCTATCTATAGATATTGGTATCGTTTGCACGTATATGACGTCCATGACTGCGGGAGTGAACTCGGTTTAGGAATAGGGCTGAAGAGACCTCATCATGAAAACGTAGAGGATGGTAAGATATCAGTACGCGAACAAAGCACTTTATGATTTTAGCTTATTATGTATCGGTTACGAAAACAGACATGGAAACAGGGAGTAAAGTTATTCATGGAAACATCTTGAGATCGTCGGATCGACTGTCTGTTCTGGCTTGATAGTAGATGAATCCCTTTCTTTATTTCTTGAATATCCGCTTCCGAAAATCCACACTTGAACCGACTAGAAACCCTCCAATATTTGTGTTCATCACATCTTTTGGATCATAATTACTCATCGCAATCTAGACCTCTGATTTTCGATGTTCGAAGATGGAACTTTTGTTCGCAGACTCCGGACCGACAGATATGTTTCCAGTCTCGCTTAAGTCGCCCGCATTCCTCAGCATGCCGAACTCGGGCATTGCCGCATGCAATTCTCGGGTCTTCAATGAAATTTCGCTATGCCTTTTTACGTGTGCAAATTTTTGTTTCTTTTGCTCTGTAAAGAGCGAATTTCTGTAGTTTACTTCGTATCCCCGCGCCCTCCATACGCCTACACCCTTTCTCCCGTCAAAATATCCTCCTACCTTCCTACGATTCCCTCTTGGCTACCTACTCCCTTCGTTGGCTTATCGCAATTGGAAGTATCCAGCAAATTTCTTAATGATTGGATACCATGAAATTTAGAATAACAAATCAACGAAACGGTAAAAGAACAACTCGTGTCTTCCTCTAAGGGGCATTATTTTAAGCAGCTCTTAATTAGTTTTCTATATATTTAGAGTAGGCAGTAGCTTAGTGATCGTTTTAAGTACATTAGGATTATGAATTAAACCTCAAGAAGTAATTTGAAAAAAAGAAAAAGAATAGATAGTTGAAAATAAGAAAGACCAAAAGTGTTGAGAAATCGGAATTTATGCGAGATAGTATTCACGAAAACCACCCAACGTATGACCGCGATCGAATAAATACCCACATCATGCAAATCATATACCAGTAGTTCCATGAATAATCTAGATGCAACCACAAGAAAATAGTAGTGTCGCAAAATTTCACCATTTAGCACTCTCTAAACCGCGCTCATCGTTCCAGACCACGCATTCGGAATGTGATATTTCTTCATATCACAATCAACTCATTCTACATCCGCATTCCACACAGATCTAAACTTAGCTATATTCTCAAACCAATTGTTGAGCACTGTGTCTATTATAGCGGTGCAGAGTTTTTTATTGCTGAATTTAATACACAAAGAGACAGCCCCAAATTTTGCTCGCGCGCTTGATGTTGTCATCAGCCACATTATCTTTCTCGTACGGATCAATTTTTGGGCGATGAATTCAGAATCAAATTCCTTCCCTAGAACATTTGAAATCTAGAATTATGAGCTGAATTTGAACTTTCAAATCAACAGAATCTAGAACATTGAGGGCTTGGAAGCTGTAGACCTTCTCAAATCCTAATAATCAGAACATTAGAACATTTAAATCACTTAAAACATCTAAATTACCTAAAACTTTCAATTTGATATCTAATTTACTGTTTAAACCTCAACATTCTCGAATAAGAAGGTTGGACCGCCAGGAATTGCTTGCTCAGCCATGTTTGGCAAAGTACCATACTCCTTTTCCTCACCACCCTCAGCTGGGACAATAACACCCTTCTTTGCGCCCTCCTCACCATCTACAATAACCAATTCTATAACCGACAGTCCAGCCGCCTTTTTAAGGCCAGCTACCATGTTCTTGAGTATTGTCTTCTCGTCGAAGGCCAACTTTCTCTCAAACACTTGCTCTGGGGCCTCACCACTTTGCAATCTCCTCTTTAAGACTTGTACAAAAGGCATAGCCTTCTTCATTTCACCCATCTTAGCAATCTTTCCATTCAGTTCCTTGTCATTGGCAGTCTTTGTCTCTGGGTTCCAAGACTCGCGAACAAGATCGATATACTTTTGTTGCCAAACAGGGAATTTAGCGGCAGAGAAAATAGTAAGCTTCTTGGGTTTCTTGAGATCGTATCCGATGTCCTTTCCTTTCGCCTTCTTCTTTTGTTGAGCAGCTTCTGCAGAAGTAATGTTCGAAGATGTAGAGCGGACGTACTCGCGAGCAGCACTGAGAGCTGGAATTGAAGCTGGAACGTCAGGGTAAAGGGCCTTTTGAATGGTAGTGGGTTTGTGGAGGACCTCGAGCCAGATATATTCAGACCAATGAGGAGCAATGACAGCGAGAAGAAGAGCTTGAAGCTCGATATATTGAAAGATGAGATCTCTATGCATCTTGATTCCGGCAGCGATGCTGGCTTCACGGTAGAAGTCACGAGCGCCTGTGAAGTCATACAAAGCCAATTTGAGGGCAAGTTTGTAGTCTGTTGCTTCGTAATGTTGACGGCATTCGTGAACAATAGCATTCATTTCGTTCTCGAAGAGCGCATCAAGGAAATCATTCTTCTCTCCAGTACGAAGGTTATTTTGATCCTTGACCATGTCTTCACACCATTCTCGAAGGGTGTAAAGACGAAGAACATTGTTATCGGCAACGTCTTCCTCGAAATTGGCATCTGCAACTCCATCTCCTGCATCAGCTAACGCGATACGACTGGCATCTGCACCATATTTGTTGATCATGTCAAATAATGTCATGAAGTTGCCAGTAGATTTACTCATCTTCTCTCCGTTCAAGAGCAAGTGGCCATTGGCGCGAACACCCTTTGGCCAGTACTCTGGAGGGAATATGGCAATATGAATGTAAAGGAAGAAAGTGAGATGGTTAGGAATAAGATCTTTTCCTGATACTCTAAGGTCAAGTGGATACCAATACTCGAATTCTCTTCTCATGGACTCGAGAGTCTCCTTTGGAATCTTGCTCTCGTTCAAGATTTCATCGCTGATATTCCGACGAGCAAAGACATAATCCCAAATCTCGTCTGTCATCTGCTCTGCTTTGATTCCAGCAAGACCTTGAGTCTTACCGAAGATATCGTTGTGAAGATAGTGAGCAATGGTGTAGTATGCCATATAAATGGTACTGTCGCTCAAACTTTCTACCAAAAAATGAGGATCCCAGGGAAGTTTCGATCCAAGACCATAAGTTCTAGCACAGGCCCATTGATTGAGCCAGTTGAGGACACCTTCAAATCCATTTTTGGTCTCTTGCGAGTAAGTGTTCAAACCAGAATCAACGTGTGCGAGGGCCTCCTTTCTCCAGGAGTCCTCTCCATAGTCAAGATACCATTGATCCATTAATGCAACACAGCAATCATCTCCAGATCGACTGGTGACCTTTCGCTCGGGTTCTGAGTATGCAAAGCCCTCACCAGCATCGATAATTTGCTTTCTGACCTTAGGTTTGGCAACTTCGACCTTCTCTCCCTTGAACTCTCCAAATGTCATAATACCTTGATAGTAACCCTCCTTGTAAGCAAGCTCTTTTGCCTCTTCCAATTTTGTCTTGTCCTTTGGTGAGGCAATCTTGAGCTTCTTCACCAAGAACGGCGCACACATATCCCCAAATGAAGGCGTATTGATGACAGAAATAATTTCTAATTCGGCCCATTCTTTTTTGATACCATAATACTCCGCCTTCTTCGCGAGATCCATAATAGTCGCATAATCATCTGGACTGTCAGATGGTACACATGTGACAACTCCAGTACCTTTGGTAGGAAGGACTGACTCCATAGGAAGTATCCTGATACCATCCTTGTGTACAGAGAGAGGAGCTTTAACTAAGGTTCCAACACATGCTGAACCAACAATCTCTGCAACCTTGTCGACTTTACCATTTTCGGTGAAAATATCTTGATACGACATATTTTTTGCCGCGCGATCGGTAATTACGAAGTATTCCTTTTCTGAAACTTTGAAAACACCATACGTAATCTTAGGTCCGACAAAACAACAGTTTTGACCATACATCGTCTCTGGTCTAAGAGTAGCGGGTACGAAGAAAATATCTGCATCCGCTGGGACCTTGTCCTTAATAGCAGCTTCGGCTTCTGATGACCATTCCAAGACCTTCAATTTCATGGCTAAATAATCTTGTGGGCCAACGCCCTCTCCGTCACTTCGATCGTGGTCCATGCATGGTTGTCCGTCCTTTGGTGAGTAAATTGTGTATCTCTTTCCGAACTTAATTTTCTTCAGCTCCTTGAGGCGATTCATCTGCCATCGAACAAAAGCATCGTAATATGGGTTGGCGTCAGTTGTAACGAACGATCTCCTCCAATCAATACGTGCTCCAAAATTCGTAAGGTCTCGTTTACACAAAGGAGAAAAGTAGGCACCCCAGTAATGTGGATCTGCGAATTGGTGGATGTCTTCCAATGGAATGCCTAATGCCCCCATAATTTGGAATTGATACTTCATCTTGACAACTTTTGCGGCAGCCTTCCCTTTTTTCGCGGTGAACTTAGTGACGTCTTCGTGATGGGTGGCTGGTGTAGGGGTATTTGTCTTCTCTTCCAGAACCTCTTCCTCCTTGTAGTTTTCAAAGTTCTTTCCGAAAAGCTGGATCTCCTTAACAAGCTTGTCTGCGGCTGCTTTGATAGGTAAACCAGTCAAATGAAAACCCATAGGGAACAGAGTTCTCTTTCCTTGCATACGTGCAAAACCTGCAGTAAACTCGATCTTACTGACGGTGAAACTGTGACCAGCGTGAAGAGTGCCGTTCATGTAAGGATATGCCATGGTACCAAAGAATTTAGGGTGCTGTTCGCGCAACTCTGCGGCGGAGACAGAGTGGAGGGGAACTTCGGAAGTTGAAGGAGCATCTGGTTGAAAGACACCATCCTTTTCCCATTGCGCTTGGTACTTCCTCTCGATTGCGATAAGTTTGTCTCTCTTCTCAGTCTAAAAGGTTTCGTGGTTAGTAACTATTTTATATCAACCAATTGAGGGGTACTTACGCCTTTCAACTCCTTGGTTTTGGAGATTGTGGCATTCTCCAAAGCCTTCGCAGTGGCTTCAACAGCTGCCATGATTGCGATATTGGAATTTTACCCTTTCAATATCCTCTCTGCAGAGTATATGCTGTTGCTTTAGAAGTTTCACTGAGTCAGAGAGACCGCACTGAAGTTCGGTTCACCCACCAACTGAGAAATTGCAGGCTGGTGGGATGTTTATGCATAGATGCCTAAGGCCATAACAATTACAGTCTCGTCCAGCTTCAAGTGATGCTTGAATCGATTTTATATTCATTACATCAACAAGAATGTTCCGCACACTTGTTAGACGTGCTGCCCAGCAGACCCGGTTAGAGCTACCGTACGACCCGAATGCAAATCCTTATAAGGCGAAAAGACTATGGCCTCCCGACTTCTCAAAATTATCACAAAAGCATCAATTCCGACTTGAACGAAGATACAAAAGGAGAACGAAGCTCAAGTGGGCGAGACCGAGATGGACAAAAGGTGTTAAAGTCGCACAACTGAGTTCCATTCTATGTGGGTAGACTTTGAGAGGGTACATCAGATTACAGAATGCTGATATATGGGAAATAGTTGTGATAGTATATGGAGTACTCTTCGCGGATTGGAATAAGGACAACTTGGTTCACGATGGGACACCATTTCAAGGAGTACGATACCTATGCATTGAATAAACACATGAAATATTGACGAATCGTAGGTTCGGGAATGGTTTTTTGGACTTACAGGATCACTGTGGTCGAAAGATCAAGTCCACAAACGTGTAGATCAAGCCGAAGATGTATCACCTGTAGCAAAGAATAGCACCTGAAGCACAGTTCATATTTTCGAAGCTATGTTAGAACGTCTTGATATTGTATGATTTGTAGTAGTGTCTTCTCGGCGTGGAGGCGTTAAATACTAATGGGCTGGAAGTGTACATGATGCATGAACCAGAAATCTTTCCTCAAGATATCCTTGCTCTCTCTTCAGTCCTTCATAGATCTCGTTTACTCGAGAATACTCTTATGTAACCTTGAATCATCATGATATGATGGGAGCACAGCTTGGTGATGTTATATGTGTAACCAAAAGAGCAATGTGGTGACAACATTTGGGGCTCTTTTGTGCTCATAACTAGTAGATGTGAGGCTTGTGTCATTCCAGCTGACGAATCGACTTGGTGTTGAGAGTGTTGGAATGCTCTCTACAATTGCCCTCCAGTGTGTTCCTCGCTGCAGCCTTCGATCAAGTACTTCTGCAACCTTGTGATCTTGCGAATGATGGGCGTTCTCTTATTGTGGTTGGTTGTAGGTGTAACCAAAACAGTCGCTAGCTTTCACCGGGTAGCCCAGGCAAAATTCCCGCCCATTCCCATACCTCCTAATGCCCCGCCCCTTCCTTCATTCAAGGGTCTCTTTGCTACCTTTCCCTGTGCCTTCACCCCTTCCACAACTCTCTCTAACTGTGTCTCAATAACAACACCGCCTACAATCATCTCGCTCAAAGCTGCATGCAGCGTCTCAAAATTGAAAATCAAATCTAGTTCGCATACATTCTCAAACAAGCGATCGAGTGCCTCCACATATACTTGTATCAGATCAATAAGAGCAAGTGGGGATTCAGTAGATGTTGAAATAATGATGAAGTATAGTGTCGCATAATGACGATATGTGACCAGGGAAGGGATGTCGTTATGAGGAGAGGAGTCTGTTTTGGATGTGGAGGAGGAGGCGAGAAGAGGCGGAAGCGGAAGGAAATTGCAAGAGCCCGCAGGACGATTAGAGACGAGTGTGAATATTTCTGAAATAAGTCGCTGTTGGACTGATGTTTCCTATTGGGGCTGTTAGTAAAGATTGTTCGGAGGATGGCGAGTGGCTGATACTCACTAGTTGTGTGTAGAATTTTGTAAGCCGTGGTTGCCCAGCATTGTTGAAGACAAGAACTGCGTTGATCATCTTTGAGTGCAAGTATACTAAGAAACAAATGAGTTTGATATTTGCTAAGAATTATGCTGAAAGCCGACAAAAGAAAGGCTGAACACGATGCAGGTGATAGGACCGTGGTGTAGAAATCCCGATATGTCAATGAAGCGAATAAACGTGGGGTAGCTTAGCTCAAAGCTTAATTCCATCGAGCTCTGTGCGACCGATCTGTTTATGAACCCCTACGAAGTATTAATAGGTATTTACCCACACACCATTCCATGTATCATCCTCTTCTGTCCTACAAATCATTCCGCTCAAACATAAAAATGACTCGCACATTCCTCGCAAAGATTCTTCGCGGTGCGCCCCGCCAATGTGGCACCTCTCGAAATTTCCTCGTGCGCGGTCGAGCATTTCCAACCATTCGATCAGGTGTTGTCTACCAAACCTTCCGCCCTATCACAATTTCAAACAAAGTAGGCAAAGGGTTGTCCCCAGAATCTGAGGATCCTAAACCCAAGATACTGGAAAGCAATCCAGAACCAAAACAAGCTGCTGAGCTCAGCCAAGAACAATACAATGAGTTATCGGATAAGTATATGGATATGATGGTTGAGAAGTTAGAGGAGTTACAAGAGGAGAGGGAAGATGTTGATGTCGAATACAGCGTATGTTTCTACTTGGGCTCAACGCCTTGTATGAGGTGCTTTCTCGGAACTAACTGAGATCTCTATATAGGCTGGAGTTCTTACACTCTCATTTCCACCCATCGGCACCTATGTCATCAACAAGCAGCCACCAAATAAACAAATTTGGCTTTCTTCTCCTACATCCGGACCAAAGCGCTATGATTTCGTAATCACGAGTGAGGGTCAAGATTCAAAAGAAGGCACAGGATCAGGGGAGTGGATATACTTGAGAGATGGATCGTCTTTGAATGAACTGCTGTTGAATGAGGTCGGCGTCGATTTATCAAGTTCATACACTCCTGATATTCCAGGAGATGAGTGATTACCTTAGGCATTGGAAACAGATCTACGGATGGATCTCGCGAACATTTCTTGCAAATGGTGGGCTCTAAATCGGACATCAACCTGGCGTTTTCTGGCAGTGGCATTTTTACGACTTGAGAATCATGAATATACGGAACCAATGAGACGTTGAAGTGGCATTTTAATTTGGACATTGCATAATGGTAATGGACACAGTCTAAATTTCTGACTATCTGCTTATTATAGACACAATACAGCTTCTCCAAGAAATCTAACTCTCTTTACTTCTTGTTGCCTGTGACCTCGGCTTGATCCAATCTGGTTCTATTCTTGCGGTAGTAATTCTTCGCAGAATGACGCTGGACTAGACGCTCATCGTTGGGTGCGAATAATATTTTAGGAAGTATTTCCATTCTCACTTTCACGTATCCCTCAATCATCCTAGCTTCCAGCAAAACTTCCTTTCTTGGGGCGATGCATGATGTGTATAGACTCGGATCACAAACCTACTCAAGTCGCAATCGTCACCTGAGGGCCACCTTGATCTCCTTCCGGCTTTGGTAAATTATCCTACGTCGCACAAGGATTAGCACATAATTCAAGAATATCTTTCACATAAGAGAAGCCATGATATAATATCTATCATATTGGCTTCGAGCAATATCACCCGTCCGAAGAAGTGAAACTTACCACCTCAAAAATAACTTTTATCATCAAACTACAACTTGGGCAGACTCCAATGTCTTCGCCATCTCTCAAATCAGCAATACCGATTTCAAATCGATCGCCACATGGACATGGATAATGATAGATTTGTAGGACTGGATCATAAGTCATATCCTCGATCTCGATTTCATCGTAAATATTTTCGGCCATATTTTCTTTTGCTTTGCAATGATATCCAAAGTGTAGAGTTGCTCGTGTGTTTTTTGAATGTGTAGGATTAATTTTCTCTGAGGGGTTTCCAACGTGTAGGTAATGATGGCGGGGATTATAAAATTGACAAAGAGAAAAATGGTGGTTAACTTATCGGATTAATATTAGGTAATCAATCGTTCGGGGGCTCGGACTTTAAAAAATTAAGCCCACGCTCTAGCTAGTCTCCGACTAACCGGGATTGCTTAGACTTTCAACTGTTGGTTTCTGCTTCTACTAGAATTACAAAGGTTACCTATCTTATGATACAACACAATGCCCAATGCTCAAGCCACTCTGGGTTCTAGATGCTTTGGGCGGCTGTGTCTTTCAAAGCAAGGTCAGATTTTACAATGTCACGAAGTTCCTCATATCATCAAATTCTCTGCGTCTTATTGGGCATCCTTTTTATAGACATTGCTGTGCTAGTTATTTCTTACTTGCCTTGCTGCCAAATCTTCATCTGATGCCCACCAAAGAGTTCGATGTCAAAGTTTGTTATCGACGCCGATCTGAAATGGGTCGGATAGGTCTTATAAACCGACATAGCTCAGATGCAGAATATACACCAGCTGGTGCAAAGTCATCCAAGTCTGGCAAGCTTTTGAGCGTATCCTTGGTAGGTAAAAGGAAACCATGCAAGTGCAACCATTACCGAATGAGCAATCGAAACTTTCGTAGATAGATGAGATGAGAGCTTCCTGAAGGTAGGAAGTTCAACTTATTCTTTCATTCGTCATTTGCCCGGTTAATCCCCCCTTGATATTGATCTCACTACGAAGTATTGTCTGATATGCAGTACGCCACTTATGACCCTGGCATGATTACCTATATATCGCACGCCCTTTCGTTACGACCCCAGAAGATTGCCTATTCCCATGTCCAGCCCTGTCAGCGGCCAACCGTTGCGGTCTGAGTCGCAGACCTCAGCCATTTCAAAGTGGGTTCGAGGGGAAGTCTTCGGTACATTGGCATTTAACTTCAAATATTATACCAGTCCTCGCATGCTTTTCAAGATTTATAGTTTCATGAACTATTTATTCGCCGTCTCCAATCGACAATGTCCGAAATGTCAGATTATGTCAGAAAAAGAGCTTCCAAGCCTAAAGTCAGATCAGGTTGCGTAACTTGCAAGTAGGGTCTATCAATACTTTCTTTAGAGCACAATGTTGACTTGATACACCTAGATTTCGAAGACTCAAATGCGATGAAGGGAAACCAGCTTGTTTTCGATGTTCTAATTCCGGGATTCGATGTCGTGGTTATACTACACAAGCACCAATGTCATCGAAAAAGAAAGAAACTGTTCGACAAAGCCTAGTTCCTATACGTCCGGCACCACCAACTCTACCGAATCATGAACCCTCTTACCTAAGTCTCAGTGAGCAAGAATGGCTATACTTTCAAGACTTTACATCTGCGACTTCTACCGATCTATATGGTATGATCGCGGACACAACACGACGTACAGCTAGATCGATCGAGTCATTCTTTTGGACCGAAGTCGTTCTCCAGGAAAGCGTTTCCACGCCATGTATCCGTCATGGAATTGTCGCTGTTTCTGCTCTCACGCGGAGCTTTCAGATTGACACTACCAGCTCACAACAAATTCAAGATCATGAACAGTTCGCTCTTAAACAGTACGGCAAAGCATTGCAGTCAACGAGAGACTTCATAGCAGATACAAGAAGTACAGCTGAACGTTCAAGAACACTCTTTATTGCCGCTACCATACTAGCCCACTTTGATTGCTTCTATGGAAATCGAGATCTAGCAACTTCTCATATGCAATGTGCCCGATCATTGCTTACGAAAGAGACCTCAAAACTCCTAGATCACAGATTCGTTAGTGTCTTAATGAGTCTCGATAGTGTCAACTACTCCACTATGGGCTTTGAATCTGAATTCTCTTATCGCCAAGCCATATTTGGAAAAGAGCAGATCTATATCCCAGAATTCTTCTCTAGTGTAGAGGAAGCAGTCAAAACTCGAAGTATACTCGTCACAAGAGCCAACAATCTCTATATAGAGATGTTCAAATATAGATTCACGCCAAGAAGAAAAATCCCTCGCTCGGCCATCAAGCTAAGAGACTATCATGTAGCACAATTAAGACAATGGGATAATGTCTTCCGTCGATCTACGTGGATGTCCGATTGCAAACTTGATATTACTGGACATCCAGTGCTAAGGCCAGAATCATTGAGGATGCGAATATTGATTAGTATCATCAAGCTTGCCACAAGTCTCAACGAACCGCAATCGGTCACGGACGAGCTCCTGGAGCCGTTTCAGTATATTGTCTCTTACACGCGAGATATAATAGACTATGAGAAATATATTTCGCGAAGTACTTTTTATCTTTCCTGGTAGTATTTCATGATATGCTCACTGATTTCACAGGCAAATCATCTTTTAATTTCGACATTCGCACCACGATACCATTATTCGAAGTCGCATTGTACTGCCGCAATTCGCCGGCATTGCGTGGTGAAGCATTGAGACTGCTACTTTCTTCTCATCGGCGAGAGGGTGCATGGGATAGCCGTGTGATTGCAAGAATCGCTATATGGAAAATGGCTCTCGAAAGACCAGGGATGGATGAATCTGGAACGATTTGTGAAAATGCAAGATACTATGGAGAGTCTTTCGAGGTCGATCGATGGACTAAAGAAATTCGAGTTACCTGCAGGCAGAATGATGAAAGTTTACCTGAGGGCTACCGAATAGTGACAGACGTACTCAATATGGGGAAACAGCAGATGAGCTCTTTCGCTCGAGTCTAGACCAGGTTACACCTTCGATTTCCTCGCCATAATATCTTAATTACTATCTCTTCTGAGATTGTTTTCTTGGATACGCGCAGATCTATCAATAATGTTCATGCAAATAAATTTTGCAATCATCTCAAGAAGCCTTAATCCCGCTTTCAGTCGTTGCCATTAATTCCATCTGGATTACATGCACAGTCCATGAACTTCAGATAGCTTGCTCGATTCCCTAATCAAAAGGGAAGATATTGTCAGCATGACATCCAGAACAAGCCAATATTACTGCGTTTGTCTTATCAGCCACTTGAAAGCTGTCAAGGTTACATTTTAGCAAAAAGCAAGGGGTAATGATAAACATTATATTCGCGGATTAAATGGGGAGGGGAGTTATAGCAAACAAGATATTTCGCGTGCTCAAGATTATCAGCGCCGTTTTGTTCGGCTATGTGTTACTAGCTGTTGGGATTTGATAGAAGAAAACAGTAATTAGCCCTACCCGTCGCGAATCTGTCGGTAGCAGTCGCTAAAGCCTGGTATGGGCATCCACCACGCACCAAGATCGCTTCTGCGTACGACTTTGTGGATTAGAGAAACTTAGGCTTAGCATAGTCAGACGCCAAAAGTTCCATACAAATTTAGAATCACCATGGTGTTATCGACAGGGGCCATAACTCCCACCTGTACTTCGTACATCGTAAGAACTTTGATACGTCAGCTTACGAGTGATCTTTCTTCATTGTGCACGTATCCCATTGTGTAGGATTTACTTGTCTACATTGCCGCCAGACGCGCCACATTTTGTGCTATTCAAAGGAAAAAAAAGGATCTGGATATAGCAGATCCCAATACACACCCTATAGACGCTTGATGAAGTAATTCCTCGGTATGACAAAAAAAGTTCATAAAAGAGAAGTTTTTTCGGGACCGAGCGATCTTCCTATCTTTCAAAAGCCTGGAAAACCAATCTAAGTCTTTCATTCTGCAATCTCTGATCTGCAATTCTAGCATTTGTAACACAAATGCAGTCATTTTCACATTGTGATGCTCGCTTATTGGCATACCAGGTTCTCATACGCCTCTTACGCGAAGACTGAGATGTGTCGATGGCCAACTCCACAATAAATTGTATCGACACGGCATGTAAACGGGTGTGATGAGAGTCCGTGGCACTAGCCAAATGAACACAGAAATTGCAATATAGCCAATCATCCTTCGATCTAAATCAAGCCAGTCGCCCCCAACTAAGAAGCTCAAATAAATTGTGCAAGATCTGAAGGGATTATTAAAACTACCACTTAAAAATCCTGTACCACCAGGAACAAGAGTGATATTGCTGACATCCGAATTCGAATTCATCGGCATGCCGATGGCTGCATTTGGATGTGAACTACGGGCGTGTCGAAAGTTCACGCCGTAGCTGATCGTTACATCCAACTGGCATCACTGATGACTCGAATATCACGTTCCATTACAAGTGGAGCTCATGTGAAGTACTTGTCAGCAGTGGGTCTTATAGAGGGCCTCTTTCAACAAACCGTTTCATGTGGTAGCTTTATCACTGCTGAATAAACTGGCAGATGTATTTATAACGTGGATCCTCGCTCTTGATGTCCAAGTTGTAACTATCAGACCACCAATGCGGACCCGGTAGTCTGGTTCACCTATTGAGTACCGAGTTTTGAGTTGAGATGTTTAACTATTCCCATTTTCGTATTCGTTCCCGCCCTTGGCCACGTTGTCAAATAGGCCCCCACTTCGTCAGCGCTTCCGGTTAAATCGGACTGGTAATCCGGTTGAAGATGTATCTGGGGTTGAAAATATCACCTCGAGGTACTCCTAGCAGAACAACGGGTTTCTACAAGTTAGGGCTCTCTTCGTCACTACCGTGTTGAAGATTTATTTCTTGTGTATGTAATGACATCCAGTTTTGTTTCTGAATTGGATGAGAAACTTTGTGCTTTTCCTTCCAGTTCTTAATCGTCTGCTTTTAACTCCTGGATCCTTCCTTTGAATTTTCTCTGGGGTAGTATTGACCCCCTCCCCTTCTCAGTATCCCGTACCCCTTGCATATTATTTCCTTCATTATTTACACATTCAAAAGAGGCCATGTCTAACAGCAGGCAGCAGCTACACTGATTATTGAGTTGCAATCTTTTGATGGATGCACACAAAATGTCGCTGTCGATGGCATGCTGCGAAATGAGATTGGATGATACAGTATGATTGTCTGGATTGCGTTGATACCGATAGTTTGGTTCAACATGCAATAGGACACAGTTACGGACGTGAACCTTGATTCGACATGCGATCGATCTAAAAATACTTTGCAGTTGGTCGAGAATTGGCCTGCTCGGCAACAGCCCCCATGATTCGGTGTGGTGATACATTTCTTACCATAGAATGCTGGTCTTCGAGTTTAAGTAATGTACAACATACACTGAGGTCACGTCGTTGAATCACCAGGAGTTGTGTAAACTATCTGACGCAATCACACACAATCTCATCACATTTGATTTCTTGCTATATTTACAAACAGCATGGAAGAATAGAAGTCTTCAATCGTTAACCAAGCTGAATCAAGGGATATTCGCACACTGTATCATCTATTTCCAACTGTCGCAAGTCTTGAAAAGAAGCAGTTAATGTCAAAGCTCTCGTAGATCCTGCTTAGACTCGACATGTCTGTGGGCTGTATTTTGTCCTACAAAACGGCTATCACAGTAGCGAAAGCTGCACATGCAGTTGGAATATCGGTCTTTCCCGTGAGCCATGTTATGTACATATATCATTTCTAAGGTCTCAATGTTCTGGGCCCCTATACCAAGACTTTTCAATCCTCTGTTCAACATGTTCGCATGCCCTTCAGGCAACAGTACATGGTACCTACCTTCAATTTTGTATCAATTGTATTTATCATTGTACTCTTAGGTCAGCAATTTCGAACATGCGGAGAACCCTGCGCCTGCACTTTCCAATTGTTCCAGTCAATTCTAGAATCTTACATTTCTCATTTCTTTTCCAGGGGTAATTGTGTGGCAATGCAGAATCCAAAATGATCCTACATCTTCGTACTTGGGCCAATATTTTCACTTGATATCCAGCAGACAGAACAACATAGGACACCTAGAGCTACGCACACTTGCCAACCGAAAATTGTAAGTGCAGCCGATGTCACGCCAAGTTCCTGACGATCTCTTAATTCCGCGCTGCTATTTGTAAACTTCCAACGAGGCCCATAAAACGTGCGTTTGGGGTTGACAGCATTAAAGGGACCAATATCTCACTGCTTGAAAATAGATTCAGAAGATTGGTGGGTTTGTCGTATTGGTTACACAGCCTTGTACTTCCATCTCGTGTAACATGAAACATAAGTCATCAATACGGCGTACAGAAATAACCGCTACACCTCGGTTATTCTTGAGGTTAAGCCCTGTGTTACTTGCGCAGATAAGCAGACGAAAGTCGTAGAGTCTGGAAGCGCTTTCCTTTTTAAATCGTTATATAAATTGAAAATCGGAAACTGTGATTATTTCTAGTGCGGCTTCTGATTTTTTGGTACCTTTTCATTGATCGATCTGATTATTTCTGTACACGAGTCAATACATATTAAGAATTGATCAGGGAGTTAGAAAACTGTTTGGGTTGTAAAATTTGAGGTGAAAGAGATCTTACGATGGTTCCTTTTCGTGTATGTTCTGATAGATGTCATATATTAATTCGGAGGATAGCTCCTGCTAGTTCTATGCACACTGCGCACTTCCATCATGTAGTCATCAATGGTGCCCATGCATCTCCCTACTCGCCATTGAAATCTCCGCCATTACCCTACAGCCTCACTCCGAAGTCTTTGCAGTCTCGTCCCAGCAACTCTAAGTTTTGCCCCCTCGACATTTTGGTGGATTCTTACTTGCCATTTCTCCCTCCTGAATCCCATGTAATAACTACTGTCAGTTTCTCAAGCTATATGTGGCAATTATTATCGTTTGAGTGCGGCGACAATGCTGCAGTTGTATTCTACAGAGACGAAGATGTAGACGTCGAAAAAAGACTTCTTGCTGAATCAGGGAAATTGGGTAAGAAGTCACAGCTGGAATTAAAGTTGGCATAGCGGTTCTACTGTATAAAGGAATCTTATCTGGAGATGTATTGTTCAAGACTCTGTGTACCGCATATCAATCCCACGACACTGAAGTAAGGAAAGGTTAATATATATCTTAGCAGGTAGTAGGAAGTGCGGAATGACAGTGATGTGGGATAATACTACATGTTTATTGGTCGGCATGAGAAGCCGTTATTAAAGAAGACGAGATCGCGAACCGCAGAGATAGATAATCAGCTGAATTTTCGCTTCGGATGTGAATGAAAACTCTGGGCGGTAGATGATGCGTGATGCGTGATTGAATAGTTCCGCGGATTAGAGGTGAAATGAATATTTATCGTTCTGTTCACGGGTTCAAGGGATTGATCTGTAATAGTATAAGTTTATGATACAAGTTTTATAACAACGTGCGTGTATGTGTGTATGAATTCCATCGATGGGACGGTGTAAGTTTAGCCTTAACCAAATTTGATTTCTTGAGGGTCGATAACGATCGTGTGGTGTAGAATCATGAAGTTATTGAGTCTGAGGTTTCTTGGAATACTGGTTAAAAACGAAGGGCATAGTTCCTTTTACTGGGGATACAAGTCACAGCATAATTTAGGATTCAGAAGGCTTCGATATCAATGTACTTCACAATCAGCAGAAGCTGGTTTGAAACCGTGTAACATCATTGAAATTGGTTTGTAGTTGTGATACACTGTCTGTCGAGAGCCCCAAACTACATTCGCAAAACTCTCATATGAGAAAGCATCAGTCTAGATACCACTTCCACCCGTCGTTGAAATATGTGAGTAAATAGCCGCCGTCGTGGACTACTGCATGACAATGTTGGAGAAAGAAACTAGCGTACGTCAGTGTACAGGAACCTTGGCATTCGAATTTCAGATTTTGAGATTGAGAAAACAGGTGCAATCGACTTACCAATTGAAAGATCGTGGTACAAGCCATACCGAGCTTTGGAAATTCTCATCTGATACTGGAATCTAGAAATCGTGAATGTGATAAGCTTGAAAGCCGATTGCGGCTACTGTAATCCGAAGCTCTACCAGTTTTCATACTCCTCGTCCCATGGAAGTTCTTTGTCTATGATTTTCGCGCAAAGAAAATAATCTTGGAACCTTCCTTGACCTGCTCCAAGTTTAGAAGGATCAAGGATTAGGTTACTAGCCAATACCTTATTTATAGCCTCATCGATTTCCTTACTAATGTGTTTATCGTAAATACGCCGAAAATAAACGGCGAGTGACGAGGAGTAGTGGATCGCAACAAGACGTAGCTCGGAATACCTTGTATCGTTTGGCTGAAAGTCTGTCATAAATTTCGCTAAATTAAAATTTGCTGTAACGAGTTTGTCGCAGATACTTCCATATGCAGCGAGAACTCGAATTCGAAGATCCATATCATCTTCTGATATGCAGGGGTTCCTTTTCCACCGACCAGCAACATGAATCATGCATTCCCTGTACAGAGTTCGATTTCTGAGTTGGTAGGCAATCTTCAGAAGAGAGCCAGCATTATCAGGTATTAGCTCGATGAATTTCGGGCTTCGGAAGAATACTGTATCCAATGACCTTGAAACGACTGGCAGCGCACCATAAAATCCGCAACCTTGGCTAGAAAGTTGATATCATAAAAACTGTTGAGTGTGAAGGATTTCCCGTACATGCAATCAGTCATATGTTTAACAGCAATGTACCAATGATCAGATCCGGTGTCGACAGGCTTATCACCTCTGCCCTCAACCTGACAGTGGTTTCATTAGCCTCAATTCAAAAGCGAGATGTGAAATTCGAGGATTTGTCCAATTTGCAGCGATCAAGAGAATGAAGTTGGTTGGGGTAAACTAACTTTGGATGCGACTTCGAGGCTTGGAACATCGTCAGAAGTATCTTGAATGGTAACGTATTCGTATTTGAAGGTTGCATTCGCAGAAGAGGGGGTTTTGTCTGCTGAGTCGAGGAATTTTCTGAAATAAACCGAACCAAGCTTCAACATCAATGAATGGCAATGGATCTCATGGCTGAATACACGGAGCTTGACGTCGACTTTATGTCCAGGTAGCTTGTGGACTTCGGCCATCTTGAATTCGAGTGATCTTGGAGAGTTGATATGGAGCGAAAGTGTTGTTAATTAACTTTCGAGCGCGAAAGTGTAAAGGAAGGTTACATCCATTTTACCCCTCATTGCGAGACCAATGGGGGCCCTTGTTGTAGACAGGGAGGTGTACAACAATGACTCCCTACTGTGATACAAGGAAACAAAATATCTGGAACAAGCAATGAGAATCGAACGCTATGTAATTCAGGGGGAAGCACGGCAATTAAAATGTCAATGAAATGTGAAGCGGGGAGCGAGGCCGAAGAGAGCGAAAAGCAACCCAACTCCATCTTCGGTATACTCGTATGCCGCATTGAATTGATATCGAACAATCTATTATTGTACTTTCGATACATCCATCGAGTGTTGAAAAGAGCAATGAAGCACCATTGTATGCTATCTTTTTGTGTATTTTTAAAGATACAAAAGTCAACCGAACCCTAGAGAGTGCTAGGGATGAAACTCACGACTAACTCATCATACATCCCCTTTACTCTTCCATCTTTTTTGTTCTTACAGTCAAGCAAAACAACCACTGTTCAACGGCTCGAACAAAGCATTGCCTGTTCAGCAACTCACCAACACCTTCTGTTGCGCATTCATTGTCGTATATCTGCACCATACTCTAACAGCCACTCGATCCCCACGAACATACTCTCCAGGCAATTATCGTACTCATCCTCACCTCTACATCTGTATAGATTGGGGCATTCCCTGTCTGTATGCATTCAGCAAGTAAGATCCGCACAACGCTTCTATTTCCACCTCTTGTAGCTCTAGTCGAGGAGGGGTAAATCCCCACGGTAGTCAGATCCTTATAAGTGATAGAATATCGCCTTATAAATTTGTATGCTGAACTATTAATCAAGACCTCTAAAACTGGAGTCTTCAAGCCATGTGTCCTAGAGAAGAATTGAGCACGGGCGATATTCCTTTCATCAGACTGGATCCTTAAGGGCAAATTGTCCAGAATTGACATCTGCTCCTCGTGGTGCTCAGTCAACTTTGTGAAAGTTCTGTGTACAATATCGGACTCGATGTTGTTCGTAAAGCCCAGAGTCAATGTAAGATCACGTGATGTGAATTATGGAAGAAAAAATTTCGCTTAATCTTAGCCTTCACACTAGCTTCTCGCACCATTTTCATTTTTGCAAAAGTTCGATTCGAAATTCTTCAAACTCTCACGACAAATTCTTCGACGACAACGATTGTAATTCGAATCCATCAGGTCAGTACTCTACCAACGTCTCAACTTCTATCTGTATTACGATCGAATATCGAGAACGAAATCGAAACCAGAATATGCGGGGAAAGAGGGCTGTCGAACAAAAAAGAACAAAAAAGATTGGGAAAAGGTGCACATTGGATAATTCAGATGGAGTGAAAACCCTTCTCCAATCGACTGCACACCATATCACATATCAATACTTCTTTCGCACATCCCCTCGGGCATTTTTGCCGTCGCATAGCTGGTTGCGCATTCGATTCCTCGAGAAGACATTTCAAATACTTGCGTTGAGAACAAAATCGTCTACATATTGGTTCAAATTTGGCTAATAATATTCATACCACAGAATTAGCAATCATGGGTATCAGCCGTGACAGCAGACATAAACGCTCCGCCTCTGGCGCCAAGCGATCCCATTACCGTGCGTAGTAGATAGCCCATATATCTTGATTGATATATGTTCCAACCTGAAAACTAAGACTTTTACAGGGAAGAAGCGCGCTTTCGAAGCCGGAAGACAAGAAGCAGGTACCCGTATCGGAACCAAGAGAATCCATCTCGTCCGTACCCGTGGTGGTAACCGCAAATTCCGTGCTCTCCGTCTCGAAGCCGGTAACTTCTCATGGGCCTCTGAGGGTATTGCCCGTAAGGTCCGTGTGATCGTTGTCGCTTTCCATCCTTCCAACAACGAGTTGGTCCGAACCAACACCCTCACCAGATCCGCCATTGTTCAAGTCGATGCTGCACCATTCAGACAATGGTACGAGGCACACTACGGTCAAAACTTGGGACGTAGACGTCAACAAAAGGCCGGTCAAGCTGTCGAGGAGCCAGACACCAAGAAGAGCAAGTCCATTGAGAAGAAGCACCACGAGAGATTCGCTGCCCAAGGAAAGGTTGACCCCGCTTTGGAGAAGCAATTCGAGGCTGGTCGTCTTTACGCCGCAGTCTCATCCAGACCTGGACAATCTGGACGTGTTGATGGATACATTTTGGAGGGTGAGGAGTTGGCTTTCTACCAACGCCAATTGAGAAAGTAAATCATCTTCTATGGGATTTGGGATGGGTTGTATTTCATTGGGATTCATGGCATGGAGTTCCTGATATGGAATCATGCGAAAAATGGTTCTCTACAATAGGCTATGATGAATTCAAAAGCAATAAGAATACCCCTTTTGCCATTTGTTCGTACAATTAAACATCTGAATACCGGTGCAACCGTGAATTTTGTGAACTGTCTATCAATGGTTCTATTTTGACATTTTTCCTCGCACAAATGCCAATTTTAAATCAGTTAATTAATCGCAATCCATCCAATGTTCGAGACAATGTTTTCGATGTTGATAAAAGCTGGGGAAATCAAAATGATCGACCTGGACCTGAATTGGCTGCAAGACCCTGGTGTAACCAAATGTAACCCATGTTCCTCCCCGCATTTCTCATCAACCTCGTGATATTTCTATTCTCAAAGGCCTTCTCCAACTTGAATCCATACTATTTCTCGTCTTTGCATGTATAACTTGCGCTCTGGAATTTGTCATTTAATAAAACGTTCGATAAGTAATAAAGACACAAAGCTGCAGCTTAGTACTGTAGGATTACAATACACCGCTTATCTTCATTTTCGGCATCATATCCTCAATCACATCCTTTGGACAACCCTTCACGCATACCAATTCTTCACATAATAATGCCCATCTCCTCTCTCGCACCACCACCTCCCGATATTCCCGGCCCCTCTTCTACATCTTCACATTCGCGCTCCCACTCGGTATCCGCTTCAGCCTCCACATCAACTCACTCTCATGCGCAAAGCAACCCCTCTACCTCTTCTCTTCCACCATTGCCCCTCTCTCCAGAAACCACTCGTCAAATAGCTGAAGCGCGCACTGCTCTCAATGTATCCATCCAGAATATCTTCACGCCTCACGAACATGCGCTAAAACTTCGAGCGCAAAACCTCCATCAGAATAGTAGCGCATTGACAAAACAGGAAAACGAATTGAAAAAAGAGATTGGGAAGCTAGGGAAAGAGGGAGACAAATTGGAAAAAGTTGTTAAGGAGGGACAAAGGAAGGTAAAGGAATTGGGGAACGTGCAAAATTGGGCGGAGGTGTTGGAGAGAGACTTTTTAGTCGTAGAGGAGGTTCTGAGATTGGTCGATGGGGAGAGTGAGGGGTGGAGCGGGAGTGAAAGTGATTGGAGTGAGTATGAGACAAATGAAGGAGGTGGAAGAGAGGGAAGTGTAGGTTCAAATGGGAGTGATGGAAGGACTGGGGGGGGTATCGACACGCTTATGACGGACGCGAATGCACAGGGCAATACTTCTGTACATGAGACAGATGGTACCCACCCCACTAGCATTGGCCAAGACAAGGGGAAAGGAAAGGAAGGAGGAAGCGGAAACACGGAACACATGGGGGCCATGGATACTGAGGAATCTTCAACATCAACGAATGTATCCAGGTCGGAGCCGTCCTCTAGTTCCATTCAAACCTCGACTTCGGGGATGAGTTGAGTGAGATGTTAGAACGAGTTAATTTGGTGTGGGCTGGGTTTGCCATGGGATTTCTTGTGTAAAGTGGAGCAATGGGAACACTCTGGTTATGGGTCATTTTATACGGTGTGTAGGTTATTTGGAGGAATATTTGGCTTTAAGAGCTATGTTGCAAAACAAGTGTCTTGAATTTTTCATACGGGCGTGCTTTTTCTCTATTATCGACTATTCTTAGTGGTTGTGTTTCATTTTATGATCGACATCAGAAATCTGCCAAGCATGCGAGCGATCTTCTTCAAGCAATCATGACACTCAGTATTTACAATCATACAAATATACATACAATGCCTCTCTATGCCAGTCATCCTCTTCTCCTCGAATTCTCTACTCCCCCCTACAAAACCTCAAAAGCATCATAAATTACCCTCCCTCCATTTCTCCCACTACTAGCAATCCCCACGACCCGATTTAACCACCCATACTTCCCCGCATCATCACATTCAAATGTGAGATTTAAGCGCATCTTGTAGTCATGAGCAGTATGTTTATCTTCTTCCCCAAGTGCCTCTAAAACATCTCGAGGACCAGTGCGTACACCGGTAGTACGCAGGTAAATGCAGTGGTTGTCATGAGTTAAAAGATTATAGCGGGTATCAAGGTGAGCTGTTTGGAGAGATTGAGAAGGTGTGTTTTGAATGGTTTCCCAGTCGCCGCCGCCGGGGAGAATGGTGCCCCGGAGATGAGGACCTTCGAAACGGCCGCCTGGATGAGGTGAGCTAGATTTCATTATTTGTGGGGGAGACAAAGGATGAGAGGGAATGAATGGGGGGGAAGGGAAGGAAGGACAAACCTTTGAAAATAACAGTAGCACGGTTGCCATGTCCTCCATCACCAATGGGATGGAATTCCTCCATATCACATTCGAGATGGAAGAGGAATTGTAGGGAGGGGGTAGGAAGGGTGTATTCTGGTCTTGACCCTGTATTTGGCTTGTTAGCATGGGGTATACAAGAATTTGACTGATGATGTGGGAGTAGTATTGGACACTGGGAAAAGGAATTGAGAAATCCCAGAACGGACGGATACTTGAGGCGAAGGAGGGGGGGAAATCAAGTGAGAAGGAAGTTGTTTTCTTACATTCTGTATTTGTCAGAGTAGATATATCATGAGCTTTTTCTACCTCGCCGGCTTGTACTCTTTTGTCTTGAGGATTTGACATAATTTCTTTTTTCCCTTAAGTATACCAAATAATAAATCCAAGAACCGAAAATCTAGAAATATGTCATTCCCAAAATCCAAATTCAACAAGAAACTCAAGAGTTGAAGCAATCATGACGTATCCCAAAGTCCCACTTAGCACATGGTCTAGATCCGTTCGTCTAGATCGGATTTCGGATGTGGCGAACGCTAAAGCTTAATGTCTATTTTTCAGGCCGAAGAGAAGCCAAGGCGGGATGGTTTCCGGATTCCGAATTTTAGCCTATGGTGGAAGGGAGAGGAGAGAGAGGGAAAAGGGGAGTCGGGACTGGGGAAGTATAATTAATATGTGCAGTTCCAGCATGGGGGAAATGAGGAGGAGTAATTTGGATTGTGAATTGGTTTTTTGTTTCATTCTGATTTTTTGAAGAATAATCACCCTAGAGCTCTCGAACAAGAATTATTTGTTCAAAGGTATCTGTATATTTCTATCATTGTGCGTGGTCCTCGAGCTATTGGCATTTATACCTATTTAGCACCGAGCTCCTCCTGCCAACAACAGGGAGAGAAGACTTTTGAGTTCGCTACCCAATATCCAAGAGTTTCATATATACCCCTAAGTCTAAATCCTTTAGCACATAAAAAAGCTTCCACCCCGTGCATCTTCTACTTCGTACTCTTGATCCTATTAAAAAAATCAGAATTAGGAGTTTCTGCATGAAAGAATTTCCAATTAATAATCCTCATGTATCTCAAAAGCATTTTCTTTGTCGGAGTCATCTTCTTATTCACGAGTCGCGGCCCTGAGATGGATATGGTATTTTAACTTGACTAGAAAGTTACGTACTCAGAATCTCAAGGCAGCATTACCCGGGCAATCATAAATCGATGATGATTCTTTCTGGAGCGGCATTCTAGAATTGCTGTAGTATGGTCGGCAAGAAATCCTGCTATTGATCTGCCGACCTAGGAGTTGGTGGTAAGAAGAAGCCGCTAGATGTGCAATGTCTGAGAAGACGGGACATACATTGGATGAGGAAGTAATGAGTTTTGTCGAATGACTGGTATGCAACGGAGTGGCATTGGGCGCAGCGGCTTGGAGGGCAGATCAGTTCTGCTTTGGGAAGCTGAATGGGAGGCAGGTTGAGTTGGATTTGCGGAAGGTCATGGAGACTGGAATGATATACAGATTCGAATGTGGATATGAGTGTAGTTAAAGTAATTGTTAATTCCGTTCCATGATCATAAAGATTGCATACTATCAAAAGAGTAATGCATAAAAGGGAGACCTCTATCGTGTTCCTCTCGGAAATCAAGAGTAAAGGCGAGTAGGACAGTTCCCTTAATAAGATCCAGCAGGGAGATAATAGTACTTACACGATCCAACTCCCAACAAAGATCTTTCAAATTGCAAAGCTTCGTAGCAAAAAAACTTCCCTAAAAAACACTCTCCAGGATACCCATAAAGGAGTAGATCGATCTATCCAACAGATTATTCTAGAAAACAAAGCCATGCCCAAAAGTCTAACACCTCACTACTCACTCTTTGCTAACTGTACACATCAACGAAGAACTCCAAACTAGTTATCGGTATACAATACGTACGTGCCATCAAAATGACATCATGCTGAGCACTCTGATGCATTACAAGTATTTTAATAACCTCATCCACTTACTCACACAACCTCAATCCCATCTATTCAAGAAGTCAAGGCTTCTCAGAATTGCAATACTGAGCATACTAGCGAAACCCTTTTCTTTAGGTTGAATGGATTCACTGTCCTACATGTAAACTAGCTTAGCATTAGTTATCAAGAGATATGTCTCCTCTTGATTCCATAGTCTTAATACAACAGTCATTATAACGCAAGCCTCCGTATACCTACAGTACGTTATATGAGAATTTCTTTTTAACAGTGACAATGCCAATCAACGAAATACAGACCCAATGACCTAGATAATACAGAATCTCAAAGAGAAACTCTCTCTCATTCTAAGAACTTCCCAAGATTCAGCACCTGATATTAGATATTAGATGATCAATCCCATCCCATCCCACCATCATCTCATCTCATCTCATCTCATTCCTCTCGTCACAAACAAGAAATCTGAAGTAAAATAAGTGACAGTCACAAATCAAACCATACCCTACAGCTTCAGACCATACTCTATACAACAAGATATCTCAAAGACAATCTACACTATAATTCATAAATCTCATCCTCCTTTTCCATATTTCCATTTCCTCCCCTTCTCTCGCATTCCATCCCAGTTCCATCCCAGTCTCCAGAATCTCTACCTACCCACTCACTATCCCCATCACAATCCAATCACTTTCCCACTTTCCCACTCACCCTCAAAACTCACCCTCAAACCCCAAACTTTCACTTCCAAAACTGACATAAAAAACCTATTGTTAATAAAGAAATCCATAGCTCGAGCCCCTAGAGCCCCTAGAGCTCCGAGATCGCTTACGTCGAAATGTGATGAAATTCAATCGAAATTTAAAGGTGAAGTTTCGAGTTTGAACTTCGGAGGTAGATTTGTCTAAGTGGGAAAGAGAGAGGTATGAATAGTGTGAGTATAGTAAATGAATATCTAGTATGTGATTGGACGATTTTATGCTAGTTGATTTCATGTCATTGATAATCATGTTTTGTTACTGTAGTGTAAGATGTTGTGATTGTTGGAGTTGGTACTAATAACAGTGTAAAAGAATACAGCTTTAATTTCTATTGACATCTACATCTAACTCACTCACTATGTTCAAGGCAATATATACCTAGATGTTTCCTCTGGAATATAATATTAGACAATACAATACCATACCATACCATACCATACCATACGATTGATCCATCACAGGTACCCAAGAAACCCAAATCCAACAACCCATCTAATGTAGTAAATACAAGAGTCCCATTCCCATCACAGCACAGCACAGTACAGTACACTACCCTCTCTTCCAGAACCGTAAATACATACCTAGTAAACCCTCCAAACAAACAATCAACTCATCACAACCCCCATGCATTCACAACCTCCCTACTATCCACCCACATTCACTCCCCTTAGACTTCTCTCTCTATCTCATTCCACACAATATCATCTCATCTCACACTCATAACCCACCCCTCAATCCAGTCATCCAAAACCTCTTACTAACCACCATCAACCTCATCTCGTAAAAACTTCTGATCATCACTGGAGCCACTCTTGTATCACCAACTAGACAGACAGGCAGACAGACAGACAGGCAGACTTGCAGACCGACCACACCTATCTTTCTATCTTTCTTTATTTCTTTCATTCTTTTATATCACTCATCCCTCCTCACCTCTCACTCATCACCCCCCAAAACCAAAAACCAACAACCATAAACAAAAGCCAGAAGAAGAAAAAAGTTCAAACCTCAAACCTCAAAAGTTCACCTCCCACTCCCCAAGTCCCCCCTCCTTGCGACATCGGGGCTCCTCCGATCAACAATCCACAAACCACCATCTCATTTTTTTGAATATAGATCCGAACTACCATTTTCGTTTCAGTTCAGTATAGACTTTGAATAAGTCCTCCCAGTTTTAATCTTGTTTATTGTTGCATCTAAACCGGCTGCTGTTCCTACTGCACTGTTTTACCATACAATACAATACAAAACAAAACGATAAATACAGCTTCAAGAACGAATTACTTCATCTCCCTCTTATTTAAATCCCGCGGTTCTTTCAAGTTTCTCACAAAAGCTTTTTGACTCTGGGAATTGAAAAGTTGGGGTTTGTTACTGCAAGCAAGCAAGCACATTACAAGTTTATACAATTTCAACATCAAAGAAGCAGAGGCGCAAGACCGATATTTCTTCTCTCTATCTACTCACCTACCTCTCTTCTCTGCTCTTTATTTACCAATCAAACCCACGTCGATTTGAACAAAAAACAAAAGATGGATCCAATCAAAGAAAATTTTCAAGGCACACCTACTCCCCACCCACCCGGCGGAAACAATGCGATGTTGAAGCGTCTCCGGGGCAGTGGATCAAGCGGTCGAAATCGACCTGGTTCTAGAGCTCGCTATGCGCACCAAAACGATGGTACTCCTACTGCACCGGCACGTCACCAAACGCCCTCTACGAATGACTTTCCACCATTGGGTTTTAATGCTATGCAGGATGGGAGTGTGTTTGGAAATGTGAGTGGAAGTACGACTATTAGACCGTCTATTACTGGTATCCTAGCCAGACCCACTGGTGGGACGAATGCAAGAGAAGGAAACAACTTGGGAGGTGGCATTGGCATGGGGATGAACCAACAAGCTATCAACCGACGAGTCTTGAGAGCGAAATCTATCTCGGCGAATTATTCCGTTCCCACTGGAGAATTCATGGGTGGTAAGAAGGGAGAAATGTCACAAGATGGAGCTGAAATCTCATCCTCCACAGGACCTCATCAATTCTCTCGTCGTGGAAACCAAGTTCCTGCTCGTTCTGACGCAAGTGGCACTTCGACACGAACTAATAGGGTTGTCGCTGCATATCAGGCTGCAAACTCCGCACCAAACCCACTTGCTATGGCACAAGCAGCGGGAACGTCCCTTACTCATCGAAGCGATGCCTATGAAGTTGGAAAGAACTTCGATCGTCTCCGAATCCAAGGTAATCATCTTGGCCTGACAACATCACTATACTTTCCCAAATCCACCGAGGACTTGGTTAAGCATCGAGAGGAGCGAAAGAATGACGCGAGGGACGAAATGAACGAGCGCATCAGAAACAAAGAGGAGGTCATGAGAATGAAGAGCGAAGGAACTTATGTCAAGGTCAAGCCTGCTTTCAGAGGAAGAGCATTCAGTGACGAATTGTCAACCGTGCTCGCTCGGAACACCATTTGGGGACATCCTAGCATGGATGAGGAGTCAACTGTACGAGCAGACTGGCCAACTTTGGCGGATCTCAAACAAGCTGGAATGAGAAAGGCGGGGCTGCCTTCTCCAAAATACAACGCTGGATATGATAACGGGATGGCGGGCGAGGAAGTTGCATCGTTCGCGATAGACAGAGTTGGATCTCGTGGAAGAAGAGCAGATGAGGACGCCGTGATTGAAGAAGAGGAAATCATGGAGATCGGCGGGATGAAGACTCTTTTCGACGCTATTGATGGATAATGGATTTCTAAGAATGGCGTCTATGTAATTGATTGGAAATATCCCGCTGGCATGCATTGCCTTTTCTGCACGGCGTGGACAAGCATTCAATCAATGACGATTAGCGAGCGATACACAAAGTACTGAAGCGAGCTAGCAAGCGGCATAGGCATAGCGGATGTGTGTCTTTTCTTTCCCTTCCCTTTCTTGTTTCTATTTCATTTGTTTTGAAATATCTTTGCGTTTCTTCTCAGGATGGGCTAGAGGTAATAGGAAGACAGCGAAGGCATAGTGTATCTCACGAAAGGACATGACTAAGGGTAACTCTTTCAACTTCTTTTAGCAGAAGAATAGGTACTTGTTGGCATAGGCTATAGAGAGACTCGGAACGTATGATCTGTATCAGACAAAGCAGGAAAGGAGAACAGCTAGCAAGCAGATAACAAGAAATAATGAGAAGATATTTAGACCAATTCCTTGAAGATGGGATGTTGGGAGTAAAGAATCTGTATACTTCTTGGTGAATGAGTTGTTTTCTGATGGAGATGATAGAGAACTATTTCTTATTCGAGATGAAATTTGATATCAAAGTTATGCATCTGAAGTCGTCGAGACGATAGAGATGTTCCTGTGTCCTGACTCCTGAATTGTCATCTGAGAACAGGAAGAAGTTATTCAAGTAGATCGATCAAATGATTTCTATAAAACTATGAGTGAGAAGTTAAACAGTAAATTAAAGTACCTATCACATATAACCTTGAAAAGAGAAGACTACAGTAGATAACAATATATAAGAGGAGAGGCAGTCAAAAGAATCCATCGGAAGAACAGATTTTCCGTCTGTCTGCACAGACCATCAAGTCCATCAACACCAACAAGACATCTATCAACTTTTAAAATTCATAACAAATGCATTCTTCAATTATTTGATTTCAAAATCAATCTGTTCATTTTTCAATTATAAGTGAACCATGGTGTGCAGTTTCAAATACCTGAATTTGTACTTCAAGAGATATTAGCAACTAAGTTTCGTATATTCTGCACCCACTAGTGATCGAATAGTTTGGCTTAGTCACAACCACCCACCCAAATACCATATCCATATCCATCCATATCCATATCCATATCCATATCCATATCCATATCCATATCCATATCCCACCTCAACATCTTCCATCCATTTCAATCCCACTCCAATAACCATCTACTCTTCTCCCATCTAGATATATATACACATGTACTACTTTTTAACCAACCAAAAACATAGAAAATATCTACACAGTAGACAACCAACATATCACCCTTCCATCATTCTAAATACAAAAAACGACTTTAAAACAGACTATTGAATAACAGTTCAGTGAGTTTTGGCTACATCACCAGATCTTGCTATGACAGTTGGTAAAGAACCGGATAAAATATTATCCAATACTTTCTTGGGTAGTTTACCAGAAACCACTCAAGTATATGAGTTAGCTAATTGCTATCTAGACTGATTAACTCTTCAATGCTCACTCCCCCCTCCACATGACTTCCTCCTTGTGCAATTTCTCCTCCAGTTCCTGTACCACTTCCACTACCACTATGGGTTAAACTTGTCTTGGCCCCCTTACATCTACTACTACTTCTCGGCTATCTACTCCCTTCTAATCTATCCCTTCTGTAGGTAAGCTTGGCATTCCGAGTCTCAATGAATATATCATTAGTCTTCTCAATCAGAATCAGAGCAGACTGTAGAAATCATCTCCAAGCCTTTGATTTCTTTGCTGATGTAACGTTAGCTCTGGGTGTTTTGATTGAATATCCATTAATATAAGCGCAAAGTCGGGTATAAAATCAATACAAAGCGCCTCCTCCCACTGCCGCCTTCCGTCAGCTCAGTATCATCCCATCAAGCGACTATCAGAAATATACATTAAGCGTAATATCTCCAAACCAACAGGGGAAAAACACCAAATCAACACATCACACGCGGCCAAGTATCACTCTGGTTTGAGAATAATCAGGATCAAAAAAGTATAAGAACTCTCCATCGATGGCGTGAGAGCTTCACTTGGAATTTACCAGATAATTACTTAGTTTTCGCCCATTGTGTTCTTGTTTGATCTCCGACTTGTACAATGATCAATTCAGATGGTGCAGTTCCCTGACTTTGTCGGAAGACATTAGGCCTTATCAATGCAGAGGGTACAAAGAGGTTGATGGTGTCAGAATAGTCAATGTGTGAATAGTCAATGTGTGAATGGTCTATGTGTGAATGGTCTATGTGTGAACGGGCAAGATGATGCTGGCTGGCTGGGTTAGAAATGGGAAGTTGAGATTGAGGACTAGATCATTCAGAGGACGGACCAACCACGGACCAACAACCACCGGCCAGTTATCCACTGGCCACTGGTGTATGAAAATGCTTTGACTGAATGGTCTTTTGTAGGTGAACACCTTCTCTTGCCCTTGTTAGCATTGTTAATATTCTTGAATGTGAAATCAATCTTCTTCTGGGTGAATCAGAGATTGAAGGATACAGTAGTAAATTAGAATCACACACTTGAGTGATAACAGATTACAATGGACAGACATTACTGCCACAAGTTTATTCTCACCTCCTGATTTGTCGAGATTAGTACACCGCTTTATGTATCTCAATACACAGTACAGCTCTCGAGCATGCAAAGTCTTATCAATCTTACGATAAGGGATAAGGGATAAGGGATAAGGGATAAGCAAGGGAATAACAAAGCAGATAATGACTTGCTCTTGCTTGTTCCACCAGGCTTGAAAAAGAGAAGGTAAGACAGTCAGTTCATCACATCAACAAGACTTCCAAGATCACCATCAAAAATATCCCTTCTTGTTTCTCTCCCAACAGTGTGATAAAACCTTTCTTCAAATCCTAATTCCCAATTTACAACACTGGTTTATTGATCATTGATCGGCCTAATCTTATTCCACATAACAAACGCATCCATATCCAATCAAGCAAATATGTACGGAGTTACAGCCGGAGGTCCATTGAGAAGGAAAGGGGAAATGTATTCTGCGGGAAACGATGTATGTGAAATAATTAATAATTCTTCCAGAACTTTCAAAACTTTGTATTTCAAGATCTCATATTCACAATGATGGCATTCTTGACGAATCAAAGTAATCCATCAAGGTCAAAGTTTTGACTTCATCTACTCATTCCGATGATAAGATGGTGAACGCAAAGAAAGAAGGTGTACTTCGTACTTTGTAGTTATGCAACCAGACGGATCGTATTAGACTTAGATCTCATCCACGTGATGTAGAGTTTTAGTTTGGAAAGTCTAGGATTGAAGTGAGTGGCAAGATCAGCGGTGAGAAGAAACCAACGAATGAACCAGACAAACTTGCTGCATTTGAAGTAACTTGCAGGAAAAGAATTCTCTCAACCTATTTATTGGTAAAGATTTTTCCTGGTTCTTATACGAGTGCATCTGGGGGCTCGGGGAAGCTTGACACAGCTTTGTGCCAATGAGGAGACAGGACCAATAAGACAGAGAAACATTCCGTCACGAACATCTTTGAAAGTATGTTTTTTTGCGAACTTTAAAGGCTCATTCTGACTTTGTGGGATGAAGTGGCTGGCTAAAAGCTACCAAGGCCTTTTTTTCCGATGACCTTTTCCAATGACCGTTTCCGATGAACCCAAGGTTGTGCGAAGAGGTTCTAGATGTCCATGTATTAATCACTCATTCCACCATACATGACATGACCAGTAATTCTGGCGTGGTAGTCGTGATGAATTGATGTCGTTGGTCTTGGTCGTTCGTAATAAGAAGATGCTAGGTGGTGCATCAAGCCCCCCCCGGAAGAAAAAAAGAGGATCTCTGGTGGAATTATGGGTAGGAAATCCACAATGTGGTTTCGACCCAAATATGATGATTCTCCTTTTTTTTTTCCCTTTACCCAACGGTCCCAACCGGCTTTGAAGCTATTTTGGACGTTTTTATTGTTTCCTCTTTGGGAAGGAAGAATAAGTTGAGACTGAGAAGAATGGTCATTTAGCCGCTTAATAGCCAATTCCCGAGGTCAACAATGTTATTTTACTTGTAAAGCACTTTCTTATATGTCCAACCCATACTCCGTTGAGTTGAGGGGTAGAAAGAAACAAGCCTTGACATGCCTCAGCCTTGTGCGGGGTTGAAAGATTCTGAGGTTACCTCGTTCATTACCTGTCTACCTGTCTACCTGTCTACCTGTCCACCTGTCTACCTACCGGTGCAGCATTTACCACATTGCAGGAACACCAAGCAGGATGTACCCAGATTCCGGGTGGATGCAAACGTTGAAACCTCCCCCTTATAAAGTCGTCATAGGATGAAATTCCTCATACATTACCCATCGCACAGCAGACCAGATCAGACCAGACAGACCAGGTTCAGCTGTGGTGGTGAAAAGTGGAATTTATCGGAAAACAGGGATTTTGGAGGGGATTCCCGATGTTTTAGAACTCTAAAGGGCCCAAGCACACTCAAGCATTACTTAAGGTACCCTACAGTCTACAGGGGCTCTTTCCTCCCCCTGATTCTTCATTTCCTTCTAGAAAGAAAGAAAGAAGGAAGGAAGGAAGGATAGAGTGGCATACGATAGGATGAAATCATAAATTCCCATCTCTACAACTTTACAAAAATCAATCCTCTCTCGATATAGACACACAAATTCCTCACATCCTTCGTCGGGTCTGCAGAGTTGTTAATTCACTTTGACTTTGATTTTTTTTAATTTTTTATTTTCAGAATATAAAAGACATTCAAAGCCATCAAAAAGGCACCATTCGGGGAAATCTAATTCTGCTTCTCCCCGTGTAAAAATAGCCTATCCCTCCGAACTCACCCGTTCCTTACCTACCTTAATAAACTAAAGAGACCGCCGTTGACAACCTCACGCGATCGTCTTTTTCTCTCCTTTCAATCATTTGCCATTCACACCTTTATCCCACTTCTTCTTTCTCTTCTTCTTTCTCCTCTTCTTTTGAATCTTGATCTGCAACTCCGCCAATTTTTAACAGCAACCATGACGCGATTCAAGACAAAATCTAATGGCCTCGGTGTACAGGTGGAGGATACTCAAATCTGCGTGGTAATGGTCGGTCTGCCTGCAAGAGGAAAATCTCTCATTGCTCAAAAAGGTACGTACAAATCTCAATCGATTTAGGAATACACAAAAGCTAACATCATATACTTTACAGCTCAACGTTATCTCAAATGGTTATCCATCGATGCTCAAGTTTTCAACGTCGGTAACTACCGTCGAAATGCAACCCCAAATCCGACTGCCGATTTCTTCGATACAACCAATACAGAGGGAGAACGGATGCGCAGAGCTGCCGCTGAAGCTGCCGTCAATGATATGATTGATTGGTTTAAGAATAAACAAGGAATTGTTGCCATTCTCGATGCTACGAATAGTACCAAAGAGCGTCGAAGATGGATCAAAGACCGTTGCGATGCTGAAGGAATCGAGACCCTCTTTGTCGAATCGAAATGCGACGATGAAGATTTGATCATGTCAAACATTCTAGAAGTCAAGACGACATCCCCAGACTACGCTGGATCAGACCCGGAAAAGGCAGCTCAAGATTTTAGGAATAGGATCAAGAACTACGAGAAGGTTTACGAGACAATTGACGACGAAGAGAGTGATCTTACGTATTTGAAGATTATGAATGTTGGAAAACAAGTCATCATCAATCGAATTCAAGACTATCTTCAAAGTCGCGTGGTTTACTACTTGATGAATTTACACATTAAGCCGAGATCGATTTGGTTGTCACGAGTAAGAAATCATTTGATCCCATGAAATCTCATTTTGCTAATTATACATAGCATGGAGAGTCTATGTACAACCTCGAAGGAAAAATTGGTGGTGATGCCGAGTTATCCCCTCGTGGAGAGATGTATGCCAAGAAATTGCCTTCATTGGTACTCGAATCAGTAGGAGTATGTACTTTCCCATCGAGGTCTAGCTCTAGTCGAATCCCATGACTAATTTATATAGGACAATCGTCCTTTAACTGTCTGGACTTCCACTCTTCGCCGCACTATCGCCACTGCTCGTCACCTTCCCAATGAATATAATCAGCTTCAATGGAAAGCACTTGATGAGCTCAACTCTGGTGTTTGTGATGGGCTTACTTATCAAGATATCAAAGAGCGATATCCAGATGATTTCGAGGCCCGTGACGAAGATAAATACAACTACAGATATCGTGGAGGAGAGTCTTACCGCGACGTTGTCATTCGTCTCGAACCCATTATCATGGAATTGGAGCGATCAGAGGATATTTTGATTGTTACTCATCAGGCTGTTCTTCGGTAGGCTTCATTCTTCCGATTACTTGTAACCTACTAACAATATGTAGTTGTATCTACGCTTATTTCATGAAGAAGCCCCAAGATGAATCACCCTGGATGGCTGTACCTCTCCACACCCTCATTAAGCTCACCCCGCGTGCGTATGGTACACAAGAAGTACGTTACGATGCACAAATCCCTGCTGTCAGTACTTGGCGTGGTAAGGGCAGTGTTGCAAAGCACGAAGACCCTATTCCTGCTTCGGATATTGCAACTAAAGTTGGTACGTATTTTTATACCTATTTGAAGAATTTCGCTCATACCTCCAACAGTAGCAGACATTAAATGAGTTTCCAACGGCACGCCCCCGTTTAATTTCATTCTCGGAACCAATCTTTTGAGAGGACTAGCAAGTCTTATCTACACTATGATTTTTGCTTAGGTTTTAATGCATAGCGATTTGGCGTTACATGATTCAATTTCCTCTCTGGACCTTTTGTTATATGGAAATGTCGACACATTGACTCGGCTTTTCTTTCTTTGGTATTTGTTTCACGTCATAAGGTAGATGTGGACTCAAATGAATGGGTGTTATCCGAAGGATTGAAGATGAGGATTTTGTCACATTCGTGGTAAAAATTCGGTTCGGCTTCGGCTTCGGAGACTTTTCTTGTATGATGATTTTGCATGGTTGAGATGAAGCAGCTGGGAGGATCAACACGATAAAAAGTGGTGATGAGGTACAAATGGGTTGAGGAAGTTGCTCGAGCTTTTGAGGAAATGAGATACCAAAGAGCCCAGTTTTGGTTGAGCAGCGCAGAGGAAGAAAGATGGAGGAAAAATCATCACAGCTGTTCACAAATCAGATGAACCATCATGGCTTGTGATTTGAAAGCCATAAAGCTTGATAGCAAAATGAATTACAGAGTGGAGGAACATAACTAATCGAGGTCCTCCCTGTTTCACTATTTCACTGGGACTGAAAAATGGAGACAAAAATAAAATCATGTGATATGTACAAATTTCGTGTGTGAGATAAAACAACCTCGGCACTTATCGGTAGATGCACGGCTATGGTACAATGATGGTTAACCGTCAGTGACCCTAGTCTATCTACTTACTACAGGGCTGTTTGAATCGGTATATCTTATACTATTTTATACGAGGACCTACCTACCCATGAAGCAAATGTCGAAGTGTTCATTTACGAAGTCCAAAGTACGAAGTATGGAGTTGGGTAGGTACGAGTGAAGTGTGGAATTTACTGTGGGGAGGGGGGGGGGGTTGTGATAGGGGTGATGGAGGTATTTGAGGGGAGGTTGGTGTCTCTATGTATAGATTGTAGGTTTGTGGGTTAGTGTGTGTGTGTATATATGAGGAGGATGAGGAAATAGTAATTGTAATGAAATAGTAATGAGATAGTGATGAGATAGTAATGAGATAGTAATAAGATAGTAATAGGATAGTAATAAAATAGTAATAAGATAGTAATGAGATAATAATAAGATAGTAATAAAATAATAATAAAATAATAATAGGATAGTAATAAGATAGTAATAAGATAGTAATAAGATAGTAATAAGATAGTAATAGAATAGTAATTATAATGAGATGGTAATTATAATGAGATAGATAGAGGGTTGGTATTATGTATATATGTATCTTGGTAGCTAGATAGATGTATAAATTATTGATTGATTATCTAGTTATCTTTGGGGTTTGATGTTTCTAATCTAATCTATTAATCGTATACCTAGGTGTTACTAGGTATTGGATGTTGGGTACTGGGTATCAGATATTAGAAATTGGGTATTATTGAGTGAGAATACGAGGTTGGGGATAGGCGCGCGCGGGGCGGGGCGGGGCGGGGGAGGGGACGAACAGTCTGTGTTTTATTATTTGTCTGGTTGTGAGTGAGTGAGTGAGTGAGGGAGCGGTTGAATGCATAAAGTACCTACCTAGTATGTAATCTAATGTGAAGTGAAGTGAAGTGCGCTTCGCTAGTTTAACTGGTTAGTTTAACTACCGGTACCTAGAGAGCTAGGTAGCTTAGTTTAGTTGTATTTCTGGTCTGCTGGTATGTAATCATATTGGTATATTGGTATATTGATAGGTTCGTAGTTCTTCATGAGTAGTTGATTGTTTGTTTATAGACTGGAGTGAGGTTACATTGTATGCACGAGATCAGGTACCTTAGCTGGCTCGTCTGGGGTGTATATGTATAAATATAGATGGGTACATGCGCAGCACGCAGCGCAGCGCTTATATCTGTGACTCCGTGCATATTTTTCTTCTTTGCGACATTCTCTTGCGTTTTTTGAGAGGGTTGGAGAGTTGGAGAGCTGTTTTGGTCGTGCGGTAGGGAAGGGGAAGGAACACCATTCAGAGGTTTCCTCATCTCTTTAGAGACTCAGACTGCAACCTATTGTGAGAGTCGTATGGAGGTCGGTGTTAAACCTCTAATGGACTTTTTGATGGTTGAATATGTTGGTTATATAATATTGAAAGCTCAAAGATTTGTTAGGGGTTTATAGTGTAGAAACATGAATCAAGTATTTCTATCAAAAACTTTTGGATTTTGATATATCTATTTTTTATTATTTTTATTTAAATTAATTATTAGTGATATACACAACTGTTGTATTTATATAAATGTATTATATACGGGTTTTGATAGTAATTTGCTGTAAGAGTTGCTACGCTCGTTGGAAAAGCGACAATTAGACTAAGAATGAAGGAAGACCCGGTTTCAGAATTAGCCGCCTGGGACGCGGGATGCGGGATGTGATCTCATTTTTTATGGGGGCTGTTGGTTTCGGAGGGTTTTTAGAGTTTGCGAGGGGAGGGAGAGGGTGGTATGGTTTGTGTATGCGAGATGGAAATGGGAAATGGGAAATGGGAAATGAGAAATTGGGGGCTGGGGACTGGGAGCTGGGAGATGGGGGCTAGATGTGATGAATGGTTGGTTGGTTGGGGAGGAAGTAGGTAGTGATTGATTGACTGATCGACGAGCTGAGGAGAGAGGGGGGGTGCTAGTATAATGTATGGTAACATTGTAGTGTTGTATAAACGAGATATTAGCCGGAATACTAATAAAGCTATGATATCTCATAGGTCTGTGTACTTCCAACTTTCTCGTTTCATTACGTTTCCTTCAAGTGGATATCAGTATCCAAACTCTATATTCTCGTTTCGAGCGCGTTACATTTTTTTTTGAGGAACTTTACTGTCTTGATTTATATTCCTTGATTTTGTTTTTTTGTTTGTTGGTTCTTTTTCGGTTGTGGTATATATATCAGATTGTTTATTGGAGGATTTGGAATTCTTTTATTTCGTCATTCGTCTTATCTTTTTTGTTTGCTTCGCTTTTTCATCTGATATTGAACCAAGGAGTTCGGACGAAGGAAGATAGACCCAGGTAGTCATGTATTCGTATTCGTCATGGTCGAGGTTGGTGCTGCTGGCCAGCTTGTTGGGAACGATGGATGCGTATCCTACACAATTGTTTCTTGGGAGTAGTTCTCAGCAATGTAAGTTTTATATTTCTATACTTCTACTTATACCCTAATCTTCTATTTCTCCTACCTCTTGTCATCTCTCAAAAATAAACTAACATGCTTTCCAGCTCTCTCACTCTACACCCACCAACAACAATCATCACCACAACTACTACCCCAAACCCCCCGCACCCTCTACACAACCGCATCTTTCTCCTCTCCAAATCTCCACTCCTCCCGCTCCGGAACCATAAACGTCCTTCAGCCCGTTTCCCACTCTTCCTTTTCTTCATCACCCCTCTCCATCCCCTTCACTCTCACATCCACCTGTCCCAACTTGCACCTCGATTGGACCTGTCTCACCACCGATCTCCTCTCCAATCTCCTCCTCCTCTACCCTTCCGGTCCAACCTCTAGTCCCTACTACACATTTTCTTCGGGGACTCCCGCATCAGACTCTTCCTCTTCCTCTTCCCCATCAAAAGACACCTACAGCATCTCCTCCTCCCTTCTCCTCCCCACCCAAACCAAAGGAACAGAATTCAAATCTTCCCTCTACATCTCCATCACCCCCGCTTCTCGCGCAGGCGTCGCAGGGATATCAAAATCGGAATGGAGAAGTTTTATCGGGTTATTGCATGGAGTTAACCATGAATTGGAGACTGAAATGAAGGGAGTGGGATGGGGAAGTTTAGAGATGGAGGGGGAATTTCCATGGCTGAAGACTTCTTCTTCTGAGAAGAAGGGGCGTGGGAATAGAGGGGTGAGAAGAGAGAGGTTGGGACCTTCGGATATTGTTTTTCCTTCTTCGTCTTCGTCTTCCGAGGAGAAAGAAGTGGAAAAACCAGCGTATATGCGTGAAGTGGTTAGAAATTGGGAAGGAGAGAAAGAGGGGTTGAAAGAGAAGATAAAGGAAAAAGAAAACGAAGAAGAAGAAACCTCCTTCTCATATAAAATCACATGGGTATACTACGGGATAACAAGAGATGAGAATGGGAAGGAGATATTGCGAGAATGTGCGCAGATGCCGGAGGGAGTGGAGATGGATTTCGAGAGTGAAGAGTCTTTCGGCGAGGAGAAAGAAGAAGATTTAAAAGAGGATTCGGATGTGGTGCAAGGGGAAGAGGAAGAAGAAGAGCAGATATGGAAAATCGATTTGTAGCATTCTATTACGGTCTTATCTGAGAGATGACTGGATGCGATAAATGAGATCTCGAGGGAGATTCGAGAAACGAGTATGGTGTACTTATTGCTGGATTTGTTATATATCTAACTGAGGATTGATATGTATTATGTAGGTCATGAATAAAAGGAATAAAAGAATATATCATAAGCTGTCTTGATCATGATGTGTATGATAAGTATATTAAATGGGAATATGGCGTGTATAGGCGTGAGGGAATAGGGTATACGTGGATTGGTATATATCAATTTTATGGCGTAAGAAGTAACTTGTATCGCCTGTGCTGTACAGCTGAGAGTGTTTAGTTTTGTGCGCATCTTAGATAATGATGGCTCGATGCTATAAAACTTTATCGAAACTGATTTTTTAATATCGGAAAACACTGGCGAGATATCGTCTTAATGTCTAGGTTAACAATCTCCTTCTAGAAGTAATATGGTATAAAAATGACAGTCTAATTTCAGAAATGAGTAGATAAAATAGGATTGGTATATATGTAAAGTATATGCATTCTTTGCTCCCTCTCATAACTCCCCCAAACTGAATCCCTACCACACTCTCACTCGCCCCTTCCCAACATCAATTCCTCATACCTTCTCTTGACCTCCGGCATAGCTCTCAGATGCGCCTCCAATTCCTCTTTCTCGTCCTCCAATTTCAGCCTCTTTTCCGCGTCCAATTTGGTAAAAATATATTTCCCCTGTCCGTCAAATTGTAATATCTTACTATGATATTTCCATAAACTTCTACGATGACTCACTGTCATCAACGTGATATCCAATGCTTTCGCATGTTCATACATGATTTTTTCCATCTCCAGAGTGACGCTACTGGTGCATTCATCCAGGATAGCATATTTGGGACGATTGTAGAAAAGACGAGCCATGGCTACACGTTGTTGAAGACCACCTGACAGAACATCGCGCCATTCGGCTTCGGCATCCCAGCCATTGGGGAAAGCTGTCACGAGGTGATCGAGATCGAGGATTGAGAGGATAGACAGGAGATCAGAATCAGTTATGCCTTTGCTGCGCATAGTGCGGAGAGAATCGGGGTAGATGATTTGTTGACGAAGGGACCCAGCGCTAAGGTAGGGTCGTTGAGGCACGTAAAAAACTTGGGAAAGAGGTGGTTTGCGAACGGTACCGCCATAAACTGGCCATAAACCTCCGAGAATTCTGAATAAGGATGATTTGCCACATCCATTTGGTCCAACAACTAGAACGTGATCACCACGTTTCATAGAGAATGATAATTTTCGGACGAGAATACTTCCACCGGGAGTGATAATTGGCCTAAGAATCGTTAGCAATTGTAGATTTTGTGTATAAATTGAACATACACATCAACAAATTCGATATCCTCACTCTCAATGACAGTACCTCTACCTCTCATCAACTCTAGCTGTTCTCCAGAATCATCATCAGATACTAAAGTTTTATCGAATCGTCCGGCTTTGATATCATCCATAACCTCCAAAAGAGTTGCAACTCGTGAGGTATATCCAGCCAATTCAGTAACCTCTTTGTAAGAGAACATGACTCGACCGAAGGCATCGGAACTAGATAGCAGTAACCTTCGATTGGTTACAAAACTTTCCGTTCGGTCACCCATAGTTGCTGCAGTTGCACCTGGTATCTTGAAGAATACCGGAACACTACAAAGGATAAGCCCTAAAGCTCCCCATACATATTTGATGACGAAATCCTATGAAAATTAGAACTGGCTTCCAAAAAAGAGTTCGCAACCCATACCTCCATTATCCCATGTGTGAATCTTCGTCTCAGTATGTCTATCGCGATGTTAGTCGGTGGTCAGAAACAACATATGACATTACTCACAATTTACATGTTTGATAAGTGTAAAGTAGCCTTTATCCAAAGTATCTTTTTCCGCTTCATGTCCATTATACAATGCAATCTCTTCACTGTAATCTATCAATCTTGAATGCTGAAATTGGAATTCTCCTTCTAATCTTGCTTCATCCGCCACAAATTTACCAAAAGGTGGAGTCAATGCTCGCATGACATTTGCTGAAAGTTGTACCAGTAACGACATGAAAAGAAGCCCTTCGCCACCAACACTTTTAGAAAGAGAATAGTTGTATATTGCCATATCTAATGCTGGTTTTGCAAGATTTCCATATAACTCCGCCAAACTATTCGCAAATTTTGATACATCCACAGTTATCAATTGATCTGCGTTCTTTATTCGATCGTCGAGAGCGGAAAGTGAGTAAAATGTCATGTTGGATAGGTATCTATCGTGAATATAATCTGTCAATCGTGTTCGATACTGAAGGGCAAGTTTGCATTGATGATATGAGAGCTGTAGGCATAATTTGTTAGCTTATTACCGCAAAAGGCAGTATATCACATACCATAGAATTCGTAAATGTCGCAGGAACCGCAATCAACATCCACCAAACAATTCCAATCAAAAAGTCCTTCCCTTTCCCTCTTACTAGACTTGAAACGAGGGCACCATCCATGGCAGCAACTTTCAGACTGATCAAAGTTCTAATGACAAGGAAGATACTGTGACTGACGAGCAATCGCATTTCCTTGCTCCTCCATCCAGGTATACATATTCTCAAAAGCCGTATCAGGTTCTTGAAAAACTCCCGATTCAACTCGACCTTTTTTCTTCCGGCTCCTTGCGCGCCGTTGCCGAGTGCAACTGGACCTCTTCTTCGTGATTCCGCATGACGAATAGCGGCAGCCTTTTGTTCGGAAATGGCAGAACGAATTCGATTAAGGAGAGCGAAGAATAATGTCAAATAAACCGTTCGAGAAATCTTTGTTCGATGCTTAAGGTATAATGATGTGAGATCCGATATTATACTCTTAATCGTTCGATCGGGTGGCAGGAAATTGAGTTTGGATTGCGCAGCCATTTTGATGAGCTTGTAAATAGACTCCAGATATACTGTTGCAAGCAGCTCAACGAGTCTGCAGATTAAGTCGCTTCATGAGGAGGTAAAATGAGTTTGAGTTAGAGTTACTGATCAAAGGCCCCGATCATATTTCAAGTATAATGTCGTCGTTGTGCATTTAATAAGAATGTTGCCATTGTTGTATTGCGATGATGTTTCTGTTTCCTTGGGTCCTCGGCGCATCTTTCACATGCCAGTCCGCTTCCGGGAATGGAGAAATCTGGGGTAAAGATACCGAGCTACTGACACGTGACTATATGTACAGCGCCTCGAGCGCGTTTGTTCATGAACTATTTTCTCCTCCCTGGATCTTTCTGAGACTTTGAAGATTTAGCTAGAATGTGTTCATTATTGTCAAATTCATCCTAAGCTCATCAAAAGTCTATATAAGTCACGCTTTTCGAAGGTTTGCTAGAATATTCCAATTGCGGCTATTCTGGCATTGATGAAGGGGTTCGATTCACGCGGAGATTTATGTTGTCTAATGTCTTTAGGATCCCAGCAAAGATTCCATGAGAGACTCAACTCAATTCAACTCAATTCGATCGTACTTCAAATTGGCAATATAAAAAATTAGAGCTTATGACTTCGCTATCTAATAACATCGCCACATATCCACGAAGGATGCATTTTCTTGAGTCGCTCCACGTACAGCCCTCCTGCAAGGTACGCACTCTGCCACAATCTGACACCCAACCAGATGGCCGACCGTAACCAGCACAGTGAGTATACAGGTAGGTATTCCCTGACGTGATATCAATGAATCTTTTGGAGTTTGCGATCCGTCAACTTTTTTAGGATCAATTTCCACTTCTTTCGCTAGGATTCGAAACTCGTCCGCTCCATGGGTGTATTCCTGTCAGCCACACATAAAGGTCACACTTCTATCTCTTGACACAATATATATCCTGTAGCAGTGCGGCCTCTCGTTCTTTTCTTCTTCTTTTCCAAAAAACTTCGATATCATTCCCAACTTCCAATTATGGAAGCAATAGGGACAATCAGCAACATTGCTGGCATTTTATCCGCCGGAATACAAGTTTGCGAAGGGCTAATCAATTATTATAATGCCTGGAAAGGTAGTAAAAAGGAGAATGCCGACATGATTAAGTCTATCGAAGGCCTTTTGACAAACTTTGCGCTACTAAAAGCAGTCTTACAAAGTTCGGCTCTCGATAAGACAATGACGATGACTGTGGAGTCTAAGATCTTGGACTGTGAAGACAGTATCGCAGAGTTGGGTGATGTATTGAAGAAGGTCATGGTCTGCAAGCCTTTTGTCGTAAATGGAGATGATTTGATCGCGAGAAAAAGCCATGACAACCAGGGCTTTAGGGACAAGATGACGGAGCAAGGAAGAAGAATTTTATATCCATTCAGAAAAAGTACATTGATGAGGTTACAAGAGAGCATCGAACACGTGAGGAGTAACCTGGTTTTTGCTATGGATATTTTGAATTTGTATATTTCGAATCCACTCAATGTTTCAAGGGACGCTAATCACCGTCTAGGTCTACGGTATCGACGACTGCAGAGAAAGTCGTCGATATTTCGAAACAAGTCACAACGATTAGTGACGGTGTAGACGCTATTATCACTCAACAGATGGATGAATAGAGTTTAAAGGTTCTCAAATGGTTATCAGCAATAGACTGCCACTCCAAGCAACGTGAAGTTTTAAGCCGAAGACAAGAGGGCACCGGAGAATGGCTTTTTAAAAGCCAGGAATACCAAAATTAGGTAGGCGGAAAGGATAGGTTACTGTGGTGCTCAGGCTCCCCCGGAGCTGGCAAAACAGTTCTTACTTCTGCCATTGTTGATGATTTAGAATCAAGATTTTCAGTATCGAACGTCGGAATAGCATTCATATATTGCAACTACGCAGAGAAAGTCAGCATTGCCGAATATCTCGCTAGCATTATACAGCAGCTCATTCGACAACGATTTGTAATACCGGATTACATTCTTGATTTATATCACAAACATAGGTCTATGGGAACCAACATTAATGCCGCCGAAGCTGTCCACTTGCTACACGCGTTGACATCCGAGTTCCCTCGTTTATATGTAGTCGTTGATGCCCTAGACGAGTGCGAGGAAACAAAGAAAACAAGGACGAATCTCATTCGGCAGTTACAGAATTTGCCCTCGAATGTACATCTCCTCCTTACTTCACGTCGCCTAGGGGATATTGAAGAGAAGCTATCTGATTATCCGCATCTCAATATTCAAGCTAGTGATGATGATGTTCGAGCGTATCTGGAGGCACGAATAGATATGGAGGAGAATATCCTAAAATTTTGCAAGAAAGATCCAACGTTACGAAAGACAATCGTCGGAAAGATTGCTGAAAAAGCTCATGGAATGTCAGTCAAACCGAGACCTCTTGCTTCATGACATACGCTGATCTATCAACTAGGTTCCTTCTCGCCCATATGCACATAGAAGCTATAGCTTCAGAACTGAAGATCAGTCGTGTTAGAAAAGCATTGACTGGACTGCCAGAAATCCTTGACAACACTTATGACGATGCCATGAAAAGAATCATGGAGGGGCAAGAGACGAACCGCAAAATCTTGGCCATGAATATTTTGATGTGGCTCTCTTGTGCAAAAAAGCCTCTGACTGTGCGTGAGCTACAGCATGCTGTGGCTATCATGGAACTCGACTCTGATGAGAGCGAATTAGATGAAGATGAAATTTACGATCAGGATTTGCTTTTGACAGTCTGTGCTGGTCTCGTGGTAGTCGACCCAGAGAGCGGTGTTATCCGTTTGTATCATTTTACTCTCCAGGAATACTTTGAGCGTCATCGTGCAAAGCTCTTTCCTAATTCTGGTGTGTTAATTACTCAAGCTTGCATCAGATATCTATCTTTGGACAACTTCAAAGAGCCCGAATGTCCAAACCCCGAAACAATCAAGACTCGACTCAAGGAGTATCCTTTATTATCATATGTGAGCCAACATCTCGGTGTACATGCTCAAGGTGCAGCGGAAACAGAGCTCATGGATGACATTCTACATTTCCTCAATCAAAAAACACTTGTTAATGGCGCATCTGCTGCTATGATGCCTTTCAGCATTCGACATATGATTGAATTTCCTCCGCCAATTGTCGCTGCTGCTATGTTCGGTTTGCCAACAATTGTTGGCGAATTGCTTAAGGGAAGAGCAAATATTGAAGCAGTCTGCCCCAAGGACTTCACACCTTTGTTGGTAGCAGCGGAATTAGGCCACTTCTCTGTGGTTCAACTCCTCATCAATTCCAAAGCCAACCTTTTGGCTAAAGATCATCAACAAGAAAATTCTCTCCATAAAGCTGCATGGAAGGGGCATGTAGAGATCGTAAAGCAACTTGTTTCTGCCCAACCGTCTTTGATCGAAATTCCATTTGAAGAGCATTTCAACAAGACAGCACTCCATATCGCCATCGATGGCCGGCATGAAGGCGTTATCAGAGCTTTGATAGAAGCTGGAGCTGACGTCAACGCATCAGATGAATTAAGTTTGACTCCATTGATGAAAGTGGTAGTAGATAATCTTCCAGATGCCATTGATCTGCTTATTTCAAAGGGAGCATATGTTGATGCGAAAGGGTTTCGCGAACATGCTACGTTATCTATGGCAGCGACGGCAGGAAATATTGTGGCTGTTAAGAAATTACTAGCAGCAGGAGCTGAAGTTGATGCTGGCAAGAATACTTACTCGGGTACCGCATTGGTTCGTGCCGTCAGCTCGGGTCACGCAAAGGTTGGCCGTGATGATAGTGTACAAGTTCTCATTGAGGCGGGTGCTAATCTCCATGCGAAGACATTCGAAGGAAACACAGCTTTGGCTTCAGCTGGGCAATTGAGAAATAGAGGTCCGCATCCAGAAGTTATTGCTTTGTTAACAGGAGCAATGAGAAGCAATCCTCTTGGCACCGTTGCTTAGGCGATGGATACTATGGGAAGTAAAGAATTCAACCAACGACGATACCGCAAACTACCGAAAATGCTCTCTGGAATTAAAGGACAAGAGAGTGGGTATTTTCAAACTTTGTATGGTCCCGTTACTACGTAGAACGTTCCAGGCACCGGTTCTTTTTCAATCATCTTTTGAAACTTAGTCACAATTGGTATCTATTGCGGCCTCCCTTTAACGGTCTCAGAATAAGACAGGCCACGATTTCTGGATTGTACAGCAACACATGGGGACCGAGAGACTTAAGTCTGAAATGAATGGACAGCTCTGGCTGAACCAGGGCATTGTTATCAAAACAAAGTATGCAATTTACACAAAGCAAACTGTCAAATCTTAATAATAATAATAACAACTACATTCCTTATCATCCTACATCTTACATCAATCTTTTAAAGTAAGTAAGAAAAAGCAAACCAATAAAATCAGCTTAGCCCCATTAGTCAGATTCCACAAACGAAACATTCTATTTTATTTTGTTGCACATCTCCATTCGGCCCTTTTGACCTTCGGGTTCACTAAAAATATCTCAGGAAATGAAAGTAAAAGTGAAAATAAGTGAAGAAGAATCTTTGTTGAATTGATGTTGAAGGATCAACAAGATTGTTTTGTTGCATATCTACCTCCATTCGGGCCTTTTGTCACTTTTGGATAGGGGGTGGGATAGTTGTTGATATTGAGGTCTGGGGTACAGATTTGTTTGTTTTGGTTTTGTTGCATATCTGTATTCGGGCCTTTTAGAGTTTTGGGAAAGGGTGAAGATGAGATCTGACTTGTAGAATCTAGAAATAGGGGGTTGGTGTAATGATGTGGGATGAACGTTTCTGTTCTATGTTGGATGTTTGATGTTTATTATATAAAGACTTTCTTTATGATATGGAATGAATTATTCTTCGAGCAATTAGAGTTTTAGAGGGAACTTTGTAGGTGGTTTTGCATGCGAGGGTCGTTAGTTTTTGGAGCTGTTCATGATGTTGTCTTTGATATCTACTAGAATTTAAGATTTCCTGTCTTCACGAAACTTTCTTGAGTTCCTGAGATTTGCAGAGGATACCTGTAAACACTATGCTTTTTAATAGAGGACAACTGCACAAGTCTTCTCTCCCAAATCACATAAGCTACAAAATCCCACGTCTGTCCTCAGCCAACAAATCCCAAGTTCCTTCGATCTTCTGTACCACTTGCTCAGAGAGCGGCCCAGCAGATATACTCTTAATATTTTCTCTTATTTGAGAAATTTTACTAGCACCCAGAATAATCCCATCCCCATTTCCCAATTTCGAATGATAATAGATCCATCTCAAGCTAGCTTCTCTTCCAGAAATATCTAAGGGTGCTAAAGTATTCTCGAGATCTTTTATGGCTTCTTGCAATTTAGGGGCTGCATAGAGGTTCTGAAATGCCTTTCCAAGTGGGTGGTCATCGCTGAATCTAGTGCCGTTGGATTTCCCGGCGCTGTAATTTCCGGTTAGGAAACCGGCTGCTAGAGCTCTGATTTTTTTGTTAGTAGTAGGCCGAAGAAGAAGAAGAAGAAGAAGAAGAAGAAGAAGAAGAAGATAAGCGAATTACCTGAATGCAAAGAAAGACATCGAATGGGCTCCGAGGATAGGTAGTAATTCTTTCTCCATGCCTCGAGTTATGAGGTTGTAATCTCCTTGATACACAGACGGTTTCACGAAATTGTTTTCCTCGCATACTTGGATGAATTCTTGGAGTAATTTGGGGGGGGAAATTGGAGATTCCAAGCTTTGTGAAATTAATATCTAGACTTGGGGGATTAAAAAATGGTACGGGTAGCTCACTCTCTTGAAAGACCCCTCTCTGAAATGATCATTGAGGGCTTCTGCTTGTTCTTTCAATGGAGTCGTCGGATCAGGTTGATGACAATATAAGATATCAACCTTGCAGTAAAAGTACATCAATATCATGCAATCACAATAATCATAATAGAAACACACCTGATCAACACCTAAACGCTCAAAACTTGTATCGAGCGACTTCTCTATAGCCGAAGCTTCGAGTTCACCACTCCCATACCCAAGCTTCGTAGCAAGAATGTTCGTACTGATAAAAAAGCCTTGCGATGCAGCTCCTACTTCTCCAAGAAGCTCCTCGGATCTTCCATGATTTGTGGGTGGATATCTTCCTGCGGTATCGATTTGGGAAATATTCAACTCTTTTAAGACGTCGAGTGCATCTTGGACGGATTCTTTGGTGCTGAAATCCATCCCGATAGATGCAGCACCGAATATGAGAGATGGATGGCCCATATTTGTGTGTTGTGGTGATATCACTAGATGATGTTGGCGAGGAAAGTGAAGTGATCGATCGGAGAGAATGCGAGAATATAGTAGAAGACAAAGTTTAAGAATTAATAATGAAGTTAGAGAATGAGATACAATTGTGAGAATAACAAGAGACAGAGAAACTTTTCATGAAGCACGTCTAGTATATTGAATCTCGGAGACATTCTTTGAGAATCGGTGGAATATCAAACCGTCTCAAATACCAACGATTGGTCAGCCCAAATGTTGGTCCAATTTTCATGTCAGATCTCCCGCCTCAGTTCCGGATTCCTGTGATCTTGCATGGAGCTTGCATTCCGGAATCATTGTTTCATTGGGGTATTTATAATGGAACATGGTAGGAATAATATAGAGGTTTGAGTATTTAACTGTGATGGCAGAAAGCTTAAGAGGAGGTTGAACAACTGCAGTGGATCACTCGGTCGCTGATTAGTCAGTGCTTACACACATCTATAACTCGACAGCAACATCATCAGTTCTCACCCCAGACCTTTTCTTGTCTGGGATGACTTCGAATGTACATCTTGGTAGTTCTTCTTCTTCACGGAACTTTGAGTTGCACTATTCAAGCTTCCTGATTCAACAGAATTCATTGCTCATTATTATTCTAGAGATTGAGGATCGTTTGGATAAGCCAATTTCGAATATGCATATGCAAATTTCGAGGGATCCTACACCATTACATTAACATCTTCTATCTTCTGTTCACACTAATCACGCCCATTATACATTATTTGTTCTCGATATGGCAACATCTCCTTTTTGCAGCCCCGATCAAATAGACCACGAAACCCATAAATGCAGCAACATTCGATTGTGCCATTTGACCTCGAGATGAACCGAAAATTACACGATCCCAGTCGGTTATACACCGAGATAAACATCACTTCTTGATATAGCTCGATTGCCCTCCAGATCCTTATCCAAGACCCTGTATTTTGGTAGGATATCTACCTCTCTACTCGATATCGAATCCTTCGCCGAGTCTCTGCTTGGCCTGTATATCTTCGAGGCTGACATATTGAGTTTTTGGTATTGTAATGTGGGTGAACTCTTCCTTTCTGGCAAGCCACTCTTCTTCATTGTCAATACCTGCAGCTAGTTTTCTCCACTCTTGTTTCAAATCATCTTCGATATGATCATCAGGCCTATACTCCAACAATCTCCACCATATTTTTTTGACCTTCCAAAAGTTTACTAATAACATCTTCCATGCTGGGCTCCAGGACCGAGCCAATCCTCCACCAAGGGCTAGGAACTTGACTTTCTCGGCCATTTCGTCGATACAAGCGGTTTCTAAGCTGATGTCATCTCTCTCTTTACTGTATCTTGTTTCAAAGAGATCGTTCAAAAACAGATTGTAGTTTATATTGTATCGATCTCCATCTTTGTATCCCCACTTGCTATTTGAGGCGATCATAGTGGAACGGAGTAGTCTACCGTTTAATTCTCCCGGTTTTTGCGCAAAGAGTTCCCACGCACGACGGCTTTGAAAGTGAAGAGTATCAGCGTTGAAATCGATGCAAACTGACAATTTTGGGCCTCGGCTCAAAAATTGATAATGGCTCAAAGCTACTTTTCTTGATAATGAACAAGTATGTAACAACACTGGAATTTTCTGAATGGCAACAGCCCTCTCAATCTCCAAGATCATGTGGTGATCTTTCGGATCATGGAGTCCCTGCTTTTCTCTAAAATGTTTGTCTTCCCGCTTCTTTTCCCAGGCTTTCTGGGCTGATTCTAGTTCCAGAGCAAGGTCATCCTTGATTTCAGAATCTTCCATCTGACAAATTTTAACATCGATGGTGATGATCCGAGGACCTGGTAAAGTGTACTTGAAAATCTTTGTACTAATCTCAATAGGAAGTCTCGAAAATGGGGCAGGTGCTTGGGCAACGCCTTGCGCAAGACTTTGTGATACTTGAGTTGACATACTGATTGGCAACCTTGATTTGAGGTAAATTATTTTGGGTAGAAGTTATGAGGATATGAGTCGACCTGAAAGTCTGAAAAGTCCTAAGGTATGATCACCGTGAAGGGTGATCACTTCACAAGTAATATTAGGGTCTGGGACACGAGATTTCGAGCTCGAGGTTGGAACTTACAATATCTTTGACGAGTTGTAGGAATTTGGAAATTATGATACAGTTGTCGTGTAGCTGTTCGAACCTCTATCTAGATTGATATGTCTTGACGTCGCTTAGAGTCTCAGAATGTAAAGAGTAGTGCAAGGAATGCAGTGATGTTGGACATTTTGTCGGATTGTAAGCTGAGGTTTTGCGGTATGTTTGGTTAAAGAAAATTTCTTGCGAGAATGAAGAAATGGTGTGAGTGCGAGCTAAATTTTAGTCTACCTCCACCAACCCCCTTTAGTTAAATACTAGAATGACTTAAGCGAGGTAAATTTTTATAATGACACGTATTATGTTAATCACGAGGTCCTGTCCAATTCATAATTCGAACAGGATAAAAGATCAATTCGTCATATATTGCTCACTGGAAAGTAAATTTCAATAGTGAAGATGGCCTCGGCTAGTGAGATTGCTAAGTTAGTCAGTATGTGCCGACATTTCTTTGAGCGGCTCCATCGATCCGTCGACCATGTGACAAGGATGAAGTGAAGTTCTGAGTTCAATCTTGTCTCAGAGGACATCTTTCTGCAAGACTAAGTTGGAGCATAATACATTGGTCGAGGTTTGACAATGTGATGAAGTTCAGTAGAATGTGCAAATGAGGGTTGGAAAACATGATTGAATTATTTAAAAATGGTCGACGTCAATACGAATGTCCCTCTCATCACGAAGCAAAATTATAAACAGAAATCTAACCTCGAATTCTTGACCTCTGCATTGGCTTCGACCGAAAACATCACATTATCTCTTTTGGTCAGTTGAACATCCAATGCCTAAGTATTCATTTGCTACTGTAAGATCTTTGCGCATCAAATCGGTTTTTGGACTTTCGATCAGAGACTTGCAAGAGTTATTCAAAACTGCAGCGTCAAATTGATTTTGTCTTCTGGATGCATAAAGTGTTGATTTGAGAAAACTCGACTCGAAGCGAAAGTCATTCCTACGAAGCATGGGGGAAGAAAATGGGCTGGCTTGTTGTTGTAGAATGCACAAAGCATCTACAATATGGTATTCCTCTTGGTCACAAAAATCTCTTGATATTCTTCTTAGAAGGCAGGTTTCTTAGATACATTTTCTTTGTTTTTGATTTATACGTTTGATGCTGATTTTTTGATCATAAATTCTTCTTGGGCCTTCCCACGGTAGTAGACCGACGCGATACAATATTAGTCTCTTCGATGAATCTCACTATCATCCATTACTCCCAGTGCTTAGCAGCCAAGCTTGATCTGAGGATCCCACTCTCCAAACCTCTCTATAAACTCCCTCTTCGACAAAATTTCTACATCCACAAATGCCTTCTCTGTCAAGTATTGCATGATATCCTCTTTAAACCTCCAGCGGTCTTCCACCCATCTAGATCTTCTCTGATGTAAAGTATCCGAGACCAAATGACTATCCATTCCTAACACCAAAGTATCAAGCTTATTGAAGCCCCAGTTCATATATTCAAGTGCTTTTATTCGCAGTTTCTGCATTCTTTGGGTCTGTTTGACTGCGGATTTCTCGACATTGATTCGCTCGGAGAGTCCAAATGATTCCGTTCCCACGGCAAGATTTCTGATGTAATCATCTAGACGTTGTCTCGGATTCAGGTCTTGACATTTGATACAAGGATTTGGACGATGCCAACCTCGATTATTATGTCTGCAAACGAAACATCGAAGATGCAACGGGATATTTTCCTCATCATCAGGAATTATAACGCGACGGCTTGCTTTCATCGCAAGTCTGACAGATGTCTGCTTCGTCTGCACATATGCGAACTGTACACAGAAAGTGTTGAAGGTAAACCAATCCGAAAAATGAAGTGTATCCAGGTCCTCGCGAAAATAGACCGGTTTCTCGGTTTCGAGAATAGACATCAGGAAATGACTCTTTGAATAGATTTCTTGACCAACGTATCGGGCTTCTTTATTGATGTATAGGGAAGCGGGCATCTTGTACGATGGTGCGGGTTGTGCTCTCCATGGGAATCTAACTCTCTTTTGAAAGGAACGAGTGTTTTGATCGTTGGTGAGCTCCATGCGATGTAACAATTCCGCAACGTAGTTACAGCGTGTATTGTTTTTGGCATTCTCGCCGTCAAAATTCGCAATGATGGTGAGCGTGCGTGGTTCTCCGAAGTCTTCTTCATCTTCCGCGTGATATTTCCATATCATACAGCGGACTTCTGCCGGAAAGTCGCGAAATCGATAGAAAGTTCCAGGCTGAGGAGATAATTGTGCTATGTTCTGTGTATAGTCTATGGTTGTAGAAGCCATGGCCGCTATTATTTCAGGTCAGCTGGATGTAATTGTGGAAGAGAGAAAAGGCCGAAATACATACGTGTGATAGTCAAGCTTTGCAAATTTTCTTTCAAAGGAGATGCGGCATACAGACCATTATGCTGTTCAGTTGATTCACATGTACATTTTGCACCCGCGGTATCTGCAGCTTGATCCATCTCCATAGATACATCATTGTCCGTCTCAACTGTGTTGGTCGCATTTACGCTCTCACCAACTCCATCTATACCACTTCCATCGATATTCATATTGTCCATACCTCCCGTCACGTCAGTGGAAAGACTTATGCTAGCCATTCTCTGTCGAGTATTTTCCCGTTAAATTCAACATCGGTTGAGCTTGGTGAAGGAATCATTCTGTGTAATAAAACGTTGGAATTTGTGGGAGACCAAGCGACTGAAAATCCAAAAGCAAAATGGGACACGATCCTGTAGTGAATTACTTCCATGATTGGGAATCATGTGATTATCCGAAAGGTATCGTCTGAATTGACAAGTAAAAGAAGCAGAAGTGTATCAGACAATAAGCAAGGTGAAAGTACCGACGTAGAACCACCACACCGTACAGTGTGATGAACGCAACCCTTTCAATACCTGTTCTCTGATTGAGCAATATAAGACTTGTCCTTTGGAACTCACAATTATGTTAAAAATATTTAAATTTAACTACAACGCTGTTCCTAAAGGATAATGACTGGGTTGCCAACTGCACACACTTGTTACTGTCCAGCAGCAACACCACAACGGAAACCCACCCCAAATAGATTACCAAACAAGCCGCGCACCATTCTCCTAATCCCCAGACCTCCCAATGCCATATCCATATAAATATAATCAGTCAGCGTCACACCTATTTTCATGCGGGTTATAATGCGACCCTAGACCCCAGCAGAGATGTATAAAATCTTGCCAGCGGCTTCTAGAAGCGAGTGGTCCGGAGTTTACATCGGAAAAACACTCATCAGTATCGGGCGTGTTTAAAGCGTCAAAATAACTTCCACACAAACCTTTAGACTGAGGCATATTGCCATTGCGCCGAATCTTGAGATCTGGGACATGAGTTGTTAGTATCGGCGATGCCAAAATCAAGACTGGGTATACGGACCTGGTTTTGCAACATGGTGTTGTTCACTCGAGTCTGTGGATGATTCATGTGGGTCGATATTTGTTGATTCACCTTTATCTGCATTGTCTCTATCCAACGCGGCAAACTTCGGAAGATGGCCTGAGCTCTCGAACTCGGCATGCTGTCCATTTAAGTGTCTGATAAGGTCTCCAAATTTCTTGATCAAAACTCCAGCCACATGGTAGGAGTTTTTGTGTTCAATGCCGGAGGCTACAGCAGAAATATCTCTAGGATGTGCTCGTCGCTTATCGATTGAGCTTGGCCTCCAATGTGGGTCAGAACTCAGACCACCAGCTGAGTCAAAGGAGATTGCCTGTACATTGCTTGACATGATGCCAATACCGATCAGAGCTGGTGTATAGATGCCTAGTGCCGGAAGGGTGGCTAGTAGAGCGATATTTTGGAATGTTGGGAGAAGAGATAATGTTGATATAATGGAGGATTGCTCGAGGTGGGTGGTTGTAAGGATTTCGATATGAGACTCTATGAAAGTATGTGCAAGAGAAAGGCCGAGGCCCATGAAGGATAACGAGAGTGGGAGGATGAATTTCATTTTGAAGGGTGCTTGATACACTGCTGTGGTAGAGCCTTTATTGATCCGTTCTTCGATGATTTGAGTTATCGGATACTTTTTGTTTGAAGATTGAAAGTAAGAAAAGAATGAAGAAAGTGTCCTTGAAATAGCTCAATAAAGAGATCTCCAAAATGTTTCCACGTGAATGTAAATGATTCTGAATTCCATGATTTCTTTATATTTCTTATTGCCTAATGCCTGATGGTCTGTTGCTCATAGCAATTTGGTTTGAATCATAATTCAAAAGAAAATTATCAGTCATCGTTACTTTCTGCCATGAAGCGGACTCGAAAGTATCTGTCCCCTCATTCACTGGGTTCCATTCGTAGAACGAGAATCATTCGAACAGTGCATCTGATCTGACCCACAGTCAGGATCGTTCTGAATCATCCATGGTGCGGTGTAGAAAGGTCGAATGGCTTCCCAAGCTAGCAAGATCAAAGTCTACACCTTCAGGGGACTTGATTCCTGCCCCTATATATTTTTTGGCGAGGTGTTCATTGCAAGATCTCGGTCAAGAACACGCTTGTCTTGAGGTGGTTCTCTGGTAATGCTATTGTACATCGAAATACCAAGACCAAGTCAATCTTGGGCAAGGATTGCGGGTAATGAGAGGTTCACAGTGTGAGAGAGCTGAGTGACACGTAGTTTGTGCATGACTTTTTGGGTATATAATCATGGTAATTGAAACGGCAATGTTGCTTCGATTGCACTTCCTCTTTCTCAGGCGAATAATTGATAACTCCAAACTTCAAGTGGTATCAGTGACCATAGCCCCTACTGGTTCTGGCCTTGTCGAGAATAAAATCTTCCATTTCACGATTTCAACGATTTCCAATTCATCCCCAGCCTCAGACTCGGAATTTTGCATCGAGACGTCACCATTTGTGTGTGATGATATCTCGCGATTCCTCTTCCTGATAACAGCGTAAGCCCTTGGAAGCTTCTTGACCTCTCCCGTGAGTCTTTGGTGCTTTCCCACGTAGAGATAGACACGCTTCATCCACTTGGTATTATCTGGATTTGCTGGGTCATATTCGGGAAATATCAGTCGACCAATCGGAGTCTGGAAACTTTGTTCTGAAGAATTTGATATGTTCGATGGGTCATCATCCTCAATGTCCGGTTCTGGAAGATTTATTGTTCCTTGAAGCTCTAGCAGTGCGAGTCCAGATGGGGTTTGAAGAAGCCTCGGTAGTGGATTTTGTATGGTTTCAATTGGTTGATGGACACTCGTATGAAGGGGGATCATGATTGAGACTTTTGAGATGATCGCTTGTGCTCGACAAAAGATTCAATCACGGTTCATTATCCGCGCGACAACACCACGATTTTTAAATCTCAAGAAATTATCGAGCATGTTTGTCGGGATCTGGCAGAATGTTTGACCGATCCGATGCTGCATATCACATGACCTCGGTTGTTCATACACATTGAAATTTCGCGCTAAGGATACTAGCGCCTCGCACTGAGAATTTCGAACTTTCCAAAATTTCGAAGTCTTCATTCCTCTCAGCGACAAATCACCGACGACAACCTCGACCACTTGACCACTTACCACTGTCAAGATGAAGTTGGTATGTATCCCATTATGCTGGATTGATTGATTGAGTATCTGCTAACATATTTTGATTGATAGAACATTTCATTCGTACGTTTCGAACCTATTTAATTGCACACGATCGAAGGATTCGAACTGACAATATTCAACAGCCTGCCAATGGCAGTCAAAAGCTCATCGAAATCGAAGACGAGCGCAAGCTCCGTGTCTTCATGGACAAGAGGTATATTCTTTTCGCGACACCGAACACAACGGAAGAATCTAATTTTTGTTCGACAGAATGGGCGCTGAGGTTCCAGGAGACTCCGTCGGAGACGAGTTCAAGGGATACATCTTCAAGATTACCGGTGGTAACGACAAGCAAGGTTTCCCAATGAAGCAAGGTGTTATGCACCCAACCCGTGTCAGACTTCTCCTTTCTGAGGGTCACTCTTGCTACCGCCCACGCCGAACTGGTGAGCGCAAGCGTAAATCCGTCCGTGGATGCATCGTCGCCATGGATCTGTCCGTTCTCGCTTTGAGCATTGTCAAGCAAGGAGAGAACGACATCCCAGGTGTCACCGACGTTGTCCACCCAAAGAGATTGGGTCCCAAGCGTGCCACCAAGATTAGAAAGTTCTTTGGGCTCACCAAGGAGGATGATGTACGTTTTCCCTACATCATTCCGCCCATCACTCTTAACCGCTTCGTGCTGGTGCTTGAGGATGGAGTGTGAGAAGTAAATCCAAAGCGTAATGCTGATATATCTGGGTTAGGTCCGTAAATTCGTTATCCGTCGTGAGGTTCAACCAAAGGGTGAGGGCAAGAAGGTCTACACCAAGGCACCAAAGATTCAACGTTTGGTCACCCCTCAACGTCTCCAACACAAGCGTCATAGACTCGCACTCAAGCGTCGTAACGCTGAGCGTACCAAGGATGCTGCCGTAAGTCTGATTGTTATTCTTTTACAATTCAGCGACTAACATATTTTTCAGAACGAGTACGCCGCTATCCTTGCCAAGCGTGTCTCTGAGGCCAAGAACGCCAAGGTTGATGCCCGCAAGCGCAGAGCTTCTTCTATGCGTAAGTAGAGGATATTCACGATGGGTAATAAAATGGTAGTCTTTCTAGATGTTTGGCGAGTGGAATGAATTCTCAGCCGGGTTCAACAGGTCAAAGAAGCATTATACCAGGATGCTAGATACCAATTTAAAATGGACTGCATATTACTACTTAGGACGGCGTTTCTGGAATGCAAATGATGTGCTATTAATATGTCTTGATGTTCCCATATATTGTCAAATACAGTGGTTGGTTCCTCCTGAAATCTCGTCCTCCGGCTTCCCCTTTTTGACCTTCTCCCCTTTCCCGACTCGCTTCACCTTACATGTCCCACTTCTACTCTATGCCATTCTCCGATCCTCCAATCCTGTTGCTTTTGCGCGCCCTCTGCTTGTCGGTATCATGCCAAATACTTGCTCGGTTGGTACCGTTCAAAATAAATGCTAGGCCAGAATCCAGCAATTTACATTTTTCATTCTAAAATATTTATAATAACTGAGAATTACAACCCCTCCAAATGTAAAATTTACTCGAAAGTGAACAAACGAATGATCTCATTATGCTTTCAATTCCAGCCTCCAGAGCGATAATGATCGGTAACGTCGCTTGCTTTTAACTTAGTTCATAGAACACAATATCAAGTAAAATCAAATACATGTAACGTGGTCCACACAATTTAGATGTCGTTCCTCTCCTCTTCTCTCTTTGTGAGGCACATGAGTACGTACGTACCTACCTAGTACTCACATAAATACACAAACACACAACCAGAAACCGATATCAATCCATTTACATTTACATTTACATAACTATACATTTTACATATACATATAGATTTACATTTACATTTTCTCTTATTCCTTCGCACCTATGTTTGTATATACGGAAGGCCCTACTCAAGTATGTAACATATGCAAACATACCTATGTAAGTAGGTAAGTAAGCCAGCCCTCTACTTCCCTCCCCACGCAAAGCGGATATTGCATTACAGCAAGAAGAAGGAAAGAAAAAGCCCCCATTTCTGCAATCCGCACTACGTTTTTTTCCTTTCCTAGTAAAATTTCTATCTACAAGCCTACCTACCCACAAACCCCGCGTTAGAACCCAAGAAACCCTTTTTATCTATGTTCCACAGTGGCTTTGCGAACAGGATTACAATATAACTCTTTAATCCATAGGTGCGTGGGTGAACAAAAAGCTCACACTCTCTCCATTATGCGTCCTCCTGATTGCCTCGGCCAACGTCGCACTGATATCCATGACTCTCAATCTTCCGCATGTTTCCTCCTTTCCTCTGAGAGGAACTGTGTTTGTGACGACGACTCTGCTCAATTTACTCTTGTTTAATGTTTCGATTGCTGCTCCGCTCAGGATTCCGTGAGTGACGATCGCGACGACTTCCTTGGCGCCGTGTTCCATGACGGTTTCGGCGGCTTTGACGAGGGTGCCGCAGGTATCGGCCATGTCGTCTACGAGAATGGCAATTTTGTCTACGACATCACCGACAAGGACCATGCGGGATACTTCGTTGGGACGAGCGCGCTCTTTGTGAATAAGGGCAAAGCCGAGGTCAAGACGATCGGCTATGGAGGTTGCTCTAAGGATTTCGTTAGTTAATTTTGTCCTTGTTTAGAGAAACTTGCTCCATCTTATCCATATCCTGCATCTCGGAGATATACTGGTACCCCTTCGAAATATATGAGAAGAAATAGCTCACCTCTTAGCACCACCAGCATCAGGACTAACAACCACACACTTGCTAACCTCCAAATTCTCTCTGATCCATCTCAAAGTACTTGGTTCCGCATACAAATTATCGACTGGGACATTGAAGAACCCTTGAATTTGACTTGCATGTAAATCCATAGTAATAACATGATTACAGCCAGCCGTTTGCAACATGTTTGCAATAAGTTTCGCAGAAATGGGGGCACGGGATTTATCTTTCTTGTCTTGACGTGCGTAGGGGAAATTGGGGATGACAGCTGTAATGCGACGTGCAGAGGCGGTTTTGCAAGCATTGATCATAATGAGAAGTTCCATGAGTCCATCATTGATATCGCCGGGTGCGGTGGATTGGAGGATGAATACTAGAGAGTGAAACTTAGAAATTTGACTTGAGGTATGCGATAGGACGAGGGGCCAGGAGAACTAACCATCTTCATCTCTGACACTCTCTCCTACTGTGACGCTGGTCTCTTGATTTGAGTAGTTCAAGCTCATAGTCTTTGCAAGCTCAATTCCCAATCTGCGGAATGAATCTCGTTAGCATATTGTCTCCCATCTCCAGCTGGACACTTGAAATGCTCATCTCCAGTCAATATATCACCCCGCAATACACAGATCCAAGCACTTGTTATCCCATCACCTGAAACAA